ATTGCTGCTGGGGCTGGGGAGGCGGCATGGGCGATGGCGGCGGCGCGCCGTAGGCCTGCCCTGCAGCGGGCGGCGGCAGCATGTGCTGCTGCTGCTGAGGCGCCTGCTGCTGCTGCTGCTGGGGCTGGGGAGGCGGGGCGCCGTAGGGGGGGCGGCTGTAGTCTGGCTGGGGCTGGGGCTGGAGCTGGGGTGGCGGCTGCTGGTGCTGGGGGGCAGGGGGAGGCTGCTGCTGCATGGGCTGGGGCGCCGGCGGCGCCGTGGGCTGAGGCGCAGAGTAGGCGGGCGAGGTGGGAGGCACCACCTGCGGCGCTGGCGCGGCGGGCGGAGGAGCTGCCACGGGTGGCGGCGCCACGGGCGCCACTGCTGCCACAGGCGGCGGGGCGGCAGGGGCGGGCGCCGCGGCGGGCGCCGCGATCACCGGCGGCGGCGCCGCGGCTGCGGGCTCTGCAGGCGGGGCCGCCGCGCTGGTGCTGGCCGGCGGCTCTGGCGCGGCGGCGGCGGCGGCGGCGGCGTTGCCCACCGCCAGCTTGGCCAGCTCCGCGCTGGCCTCTGCCAGCTCCTGCTTGTCCCGGATGATCTGCACCGAGCGGTGCACCTCGCGCAGCGTCTTCTCCAGGCCCCCCAGCCGCTCCTTGGCCGCGTCCTCGCGCAGCCCCGCCACCGACTGCAGGTCGGTCACCACCTGGCAGATGTGCTCGGTGCGGTTCTCCAGGCTCTCCAGCCGGCGGTCCACGTCCTCCAGGATCTTCTGCAGGCTGCCGCTGAAGCGCTGGAACACGGCCTGCACCACGCCCTCCAGGTCCTTGGCCGTGTCCTTGCGCTGCACGGCGCGGGGGGGGGCATGGTGGGGTCAGGCACGGCACCAGGGCGTGTCGGAGGGCGAGATCACAGGGGCAGGAGGCACCCAGAGGCTCCCCCACCCCTGCGATCGCCTCACCATCGGCCCCCCGGACATAGCCGCGCTGCTGGAGGCCCGGGCCTGGTCGGAAGAGGCCGTGGGGCTAACCAGCACGTCGTCCTCAAAGCTGGGCGGCTTCTGGCTGCCGTTCTGCGAGTTGGAGGGCTGCTTAGGCAGCAGGTCTGCGAAGAAGTCGGCCATGGCGCGGTCTGCAGCTCGTGAGTGCACACCAATGAGCTGCAGCGCCCGGCATGAACCAGTTTGGCCACCTCTGACACGCTGGAGGCGCAAAATGTTGTAGCATGGACCATGCTGCATGGTGGTTGCGTGCACCTCTCTCGACGATCCAGTGCTGTCGGATGCCTACCAAAGCGCATTGCTACACGTGCTGAAGACCCTGCAGGGGCGTCTTGGACAGCCCCCCTCACCACCCAGAGTATGAGAAAGGCTATCTGAGCTGCAATCCTAGCATACCACACCGATCAGTGCACATCCAGCGGTGGCACGGCATGTGCCGAATACCCGACCGGGGCGGCTGCGGCGAGAGCGCGAAACAGTCAACACACCACGTCACACCAAGGTGGACAAACTCACTAAGGGTTGGGCAATGTACAGGGCAGCAAGCAGATGCATCCCTTTGTCAATCCTCTGCTATTGGAGCCGCCACACAGAACAGCCGCCGCCAGAGCGGTGCACGGCGCGCTGCTGCAGATCCGCCACCACACCGAGCCTCCAATCTGTGCGGCCTTGGATGAGCTGAAAAGGAAGACGCCTGCTCTTGGGCTGCTGCCGGCACAAGCGCCGCCTGTGCCTTGGCTGGGTGGCCCCTCGCTGCTGCCGCTGCCTTGCCCTGCAGCTCCAACAGCAGCCCTGCCTGGCTGTCACTTGCCAGCTGTGCTGGTACCAGCGTTCCTGGTGCAGGCGGCGCTGCCTGCATTGTTGCAGCGTGCGCTGCGGGTATCAGCCATTCCGCCGCAGCAGCACATGCGGCCGAGCCGGCTGGCCCATCACCTCCAGCGCTGCTGCCACTTGCAGGTGCCTGCCAGGCAGGCAGGTTGAAGCGTGCTGCTGCCTCTGGCGGCACCAGCAGGGACACCACGGCGATGACCGGCGGGGCAGGCAACCCTGCCGATGGCAGCACCGATGGTGCCCCCTGCGGCGCAGCACGCTCCAGAGCGCTATTTAGGCTGCGGTTGCTGCTCCGCTGCTTCCGGTGGCGGACCAGCACCTTGGGACTGCGCGTGTAGGCCGCAGCCCCCTCGGGAGCTGAGACTGTGCGCTCAGGGCTGTGCTGGCCATGCCTCTGCGCTCCGCCTGCCCATGCCGCCTCATGCCAGCTGGGGCTGGGGCTGGCCTCCAAGCTCCTGCCGTCCAATCCGTCGAACTCTCGGCGTGCCCAGCGAAGCCATGTGGGCGTATGGGCTCCCGCCATCAACGCGCCGGTCCCATCCCCAATGCCGCACCTGGATCCACCCGAGCTGCCCGAGGCGCCGCTGCTGCAGCACTCGGCCACCCCACCGGACCCTTCCCAGGTGCTCCAGCTGCTCCTGCTGCTGCTGGCATATTGCAGCGACGCCAAGCGCAGCACGCCACGTCTGTCGCTTGCAGCAGACGCTGGCGAGGCATGTGCGCCGGCGGCAGCAGCAGGGCCCGCTTCCAGGACGGTAGGCCGCTCCTCCAGGCCGAACGGCAATGCCCAGCGTGGTCGCCACCTTTGCAGCGCCTCATCACCATCCTCATCACTAACGCTCCCTGTCGCCTGCCTGCCGGCAGTAGGGGTGGCGGCCCCACATTTTGCTGTGTGCCTGGCCGCAGCGGCAGCGGCAGCCGCCACGCTCTCCCCCTCCTCGCTGCTACTCCTGCTGCTGTCCAGCCTGCCTCCTTGGCCGAACAGGTCTGGCAGCCGAGCCTCCAATCCCTGCATGCTGGCAGCCATGGCAAGAGGCGACCAACCCAGCCTTTTGGCGGCGGCTGCCCCGACGTGTGCGCGCCCGCTGGTGGAGTGGGGGCAGCTGCCCTGCAGCAATGCGCACCAAAACACTCGGTGCACGCTTGCCGCGCAGTTGGTGCGTCAGGGGCTGCGAAAGCTCTCCCTAACCAGCCTGAACGACCTGCGAACTGCAAGCACCTGATTCGAGGCGCAGGGCGTCCGGAACGTAGTAATGGTCTTTCTGCGCAATAACGATGAAAGGAGGCCTCCAACTCGTTACCATTGCGTGAGAAAAAGATCGCCTGGCCTGCATGCTACGACCTTGAGCTGCTGCATACGCGTTTTGTTTGCGCTCCCGCCCTTGTTATTGCTAGCCCTGGCTGTTTACACCTCCCTGTTAGCGCCCCCGCAGCAGCCAGCTGCTGCCGCCAGGTGCCTGCGCCAGTCCCTTGCTTAGGCTCCCCTCGCAGACCACATGCTGTGCCACTGTTGACAAGCTGCCCGGCTACAGGCAGCTGGCAGCGCCGCTAGACTGCAGCGGCCGGAAGGTGTCAGCGGGCGGTTGCCCAGGCAGGCAGGGGAAGGGCAACGATGTCGGCCTTCACCACAGGCTTCGTCATACTCTCATGGTCAGTAGGCACCAGCGGACCGCAGGCGCCCTGCCGCCGGCCCCACACGCCGCCGCGCCCTTGCCGCCACTTGCCCCCTGCCGCCGCCTGGCTCAGTACCGGCATGCATGCTGCCGTCAGGGTGCACGCCGCCGTGGCAACCAGCTGCTGCACCCGTCTGCAGGTATGGGAGCAACATTGGCGTGTTGCTACTTAACAAGTACCTCCTCTCCATTTTTGGCTTCAAGTGAGCGCCGGGCGAGGCGGCGCCGGCTGCCGGCGCCACGGCTGGAGCCGGCCTTGCACCCGCCCGGCCACCCGCGCCTCACCCGCTGCCCGGTGCCGCGCCGCAGGTGCCCCGTGTTCCTCACGCTGTGCCACATGCTGGCGTGCTCGTGCATGAGCTACGCAGTGGCGGCGTCGCGCTGCGTCACGCTGCAGCCCGTCAAGTCGCGGCAGCAGTTCTACAAGATCTCGCTGCTGGCCCTCATCTTCTGTCTCACCGTGGTGCTGGGCAACGTCAGCCTCAAGTTCATCCCCGTCTCCTTCAACCAGGCCATCGGCGCCACCACCCCCGTCTTCACCGCCGCCCTGGCCTACGCCATCATGCACACCCGCGAGTCGCCCATCGTCTACGTCTCCCTGCTGCCCGTGGTGGTGGGGGTGGTGATCGCGTCGGGCGCGGAGCCGATGTTCAACATGGCCGGCTTCCTGGCGGCGGTGACCGCCGCCTGCGCGCGCGCGCTCAAGAGCGTGCTGCAGGGCCTCATGCTGGCCGACTCCAACGAGCGCATGGACTCGCTGAGCCTGCTCATGTACATGGCGCCCGTGGCTGTGGTGGCCCTCATACCTACCACGCTCTTCTTCGAGCCAGACGCGCCCACCCTGGCCATGGAGCTGGGGCAGAACGGGAGTGAGTGGGCGCCGCCGGGGGGGCTGGGGACGACGGGGGCGATGCAGCGGCGTGCAGGCGGGGCGCGGCACGCAGGCAGCATGCTGGGCAATGGCCGCACGCCCACCGGTGGCCTGCTGGCCTGCCCGCCCCTCGCCTCCTTGCCTGACCCGGCCGCTGCCGCCCCCTGCCCGCAGCCTTCTGGATGCTGCTCTTCCTCAACTCCTTCCTGGCCTACTTTGTCAACCTCACCAACTTTTTGGTCACCAAGCACACCAGCGCCCTCACCCTGCAGGTGCGCGGCGCAGCAGCAGCACGGCGGCGGTGGGTTGCGGCGCTCGCCGCGCCCACCACCTCTCCCTCCTGGCCAGCGCCTCGCCACGTGTGCACCAGGCCCTGTGAGGCCTCGCGAAAGCTGACGCTCGCCCTCGTGGCCGCGCCGCTGCAGGTGCTGGGCAACGCCAAGGGCGTGGTGGCTGTAGTGCTGAGCCTGCTGTACTTCCGCAACCCGGTCAACTTCTACTCCGTCTTTGGCTACACAGTCACCATGACCGGGGTGGTCATGTACAGCCAGGTGAGGCGGCGCTGCGCCCGCTGGGTACAGGTGGTCGCCTGCCCCGCCCCGTGTGCTGACCCTCCTGGCCTGTGCCCCCGCCCCGCCCCGAGCAGGCCAAGAAGGCGGCCAAGAAGGCGCAGCTGCTGCAGAAGATGACCAGCGGCGACCCCAGCGTGGACGACGCGCTGGATGTGCAGCAGCAGCAGAAGGCGGTGGCGGCTGCCAAGGGCGGCAGCGCGCCAGGGACCGCGGCGGAGGCGGCGGCGCTGCTGCGGGCGGCGGAGAAGCTGGGCGCCAAGTGAGCGGCCAGCCGGGCGTTGTGGGGAGGGCAGCTGGGGAGGGGCCCGGGTGGGCAGGGGGCGTGTGATGCATGCCGGCGGCCAGGGACTTGAGCCTGGCAGAGGGAGCTCTGCAACGAACCTGCCTGGCGGTGCGTCATCTGACGTGCGTCATCTGACACCCCGCGTGCGTCTTCCTCTGCTGCAGCGGCTTTGCTGCCGGCCACGCCCTCATCAACATCCCCGCCAATGGTTCTGTGCGGGAGCAGCAGCTGGCGCGGCCGCCAATCTTGCAGGCGGCCTCTGGGCCAATGCCCCGCGGGTTCAGCTCGGTCTATGAGGTCTAAGCATGCGGCGGCAGCCAGGGCACGCACGGCTGGGCATCAGGCGCCGAGGCGGCCGTGCCCTGCGCCCAGCTTATTGGCAGCTGACGCCCAGTTTCCTGGCTGGATGGAGAATAATCAGCCTGGGGTCGGCGTGTAGCACCCTGCAGCGCGCACCGATGCCTCTGACATTTCCAAGCGCGGCGGTGCAGCAGCAGCGGGGGTAGTCATTGAATTGTATCGGGACGGCATCAGTGGAGCGGCACATTACTGCGGCGGCTCTACTGACGCACGCCGCCGTTTGTGTGTGTTGCAAAAGCACTTGCGTTTTTTATCTCTCTCTTCCTTGGAACTTTGTCATGAATTGCGATGGCCAGCCAGTCACCACACATATGATACACAGCCTCAGCCCTACCCAATGTAAATGCCCATTTCTCCCCAATCCCAGCACAGCCTTTGTCAATCAGGGAATGGGGCCATGCTGTTGATTACATGGGCAAACCAGCACTTGGTTGCACAGCGTCAATCGGACACCAAATGGGCATGGGTTCCACATTGGCACCTGCGTGCTGCCGCAGGCATGCCGGCGTCACAGCTGCTTGCACAGCAGCGCGCGCGGCGTGATGCCCCGCACCTTGGCCAGCACCACATTGTCGCGCTCAACGGCCACAAACCCCGACGTGCGGTACAGCTGCTGCGCCGGCTCATCGCTCAGCCGGACGTGCAAGTAGACTGATGGGAAGCCGCACGCCGCAACCAGCGCCTCGGCGGCAGCCAGCATGCGGCGGGCGTGTCCCTGGCGCCGCTGCGACATGTCGACAGCCATGTTCATCATGTATGCATCGGCATCGGGTGGCTGTAAGCTGGGGAAGTCTTCTCTCGTGCTGCGCGTGAAGGAGAGCCCTGTAGTGGCCACAACCCGCGACGTCTGCCCAGGGAGAAGCAGCGAGCTATCTGCAGGGGGCAGCGCATGGGGCAACAAGGGGCAGCTCAGGCAGAGGCGTAGCTGCCCTGTCCTTGCCCCAAAGTTGGTGCCATTCTGCGGCGCCACCCCGCTTGGCCCTTGCCTGTAGGAAACAGCCGTGCCACCAGAAGCACCCCGTGTGGCGGCTGCGACAGGCTGTCCCTGCAGTACTTGCGCCCGTCTGTGATGTGCACGCCTTGCGCCGAGGCTGCAAATGCGCGGGTAAGCAGGACCGACGCCGCCCCAACGTCCGCCTCTTGCACTGGCGCTATCACCAGCCGGCCCTGCGGCAGCTGATCTTCTACATAGAACTCCTCCACTGCTGCTGCTCCCGCCTGCGACAAGTAGCACAGCGTGAGTGAGCACGCAGCGCTGCCGGTCTGGCGGCAGCGGCGGCAAGGGCGGCAGACGGCAATCGGGGCGGAGCAGCCTTACCTCCACACCATCTACATTTTCCAGTGCTGCAGCTGCGAGAAGGAGTCTCCTATGGCGCGCGGTGCCGTGGGAGGGCGCAAGCTGCTGCCACCTGCATCGCCGTGCGTGCAGCGCTGCTTGCACAGCTGCATGACAAGAGCTCAGATGCAGAGCCATGTGGCTGCAAGGTGCTGCGGCTGGCTGCCAGTTGTGGGCCAAGGTCACCATGCTGCTCAGAAATACTGAGCCCCTGCACCAGTTTCTGCGCAACCAGCATGCAGCAATGTCTGAGGCAAGGACATTGGCTACATTAGATAGCGAACGCTTTGAAGCGTCATGCCCGGCCGCTGACCTGGCGCCGGACTGAAGCCAGCCAGCACCACCGTGCCCCGCCTGAACTGAACCACCCTGGCCTCTGTCTCCACTTGGATTCACACCAGGCTTTACACCCGGCAATCAGTCCAAGGCTCCGTGGGCTGCTAGTGGGGAGGATCCAGGATGGCCGGCGGCGGTGGCCTGCCTTGGCAAGTGAGGTGAGGCCAACCCAAGTGGACAGCGCGGTGCAGAGCGGTGGGGAGTGGGTGGGCAACGACTCCGGCAGCGCCTGGGGTGCCGCCCTCAGCCAACTTGAACTGCTCGAGGCTGCTAGTTTCCGGTCCTCCTCTGCAGGGCCTTTGCTGGTGGCGGCGAGGGCCGGATGCCAGCCTACAAAGGTGGGCGAGGAGGCAGCAGCAGGGGTTGCTCCCGCCGCCGCCCTGCGATGCGCCTGTCTTGTGTTGTGCGACATGTTTTGCCTCTCTTCATGCCACCACAGTGGCCATGGTGTTGGGCGTGGCTGGAGTGGCGTGGTGGTACTACTCAGCCAACAAGGAGCTGGCCAAGAAGCAGGGTGAGGCCGGGCAAGCTTGAATGAAAAGAAACAAAACGCTGAAAAACATGCCACTCGTGTACTCTCTTCCTGCCTGCCTGTGCGTCCTGCCGAAACCCCAACCTGGCACCCCATTCCCTAGCAGACCAAGCAGTTGACAAGTTTGGGCGCCACGGCGAGAAGGTGGATTACGGCGACCCCGCCACCTTCAAGGCCAGCGTGCAGGGCGGGGAGCACTTCCCCGGCCTGCCCGACGCGGACACAAACGCTGCCGGCGGGCACGCCGGCGGAGCCAAGACCCCTTGATTGAGCTGCATTGGAGCCCTCGTGGCTGGCTGCACGACCCCTGCTCGTGGCTGACAGGATGGGTGGTTTAAAAGGGGAGAAGGGAAGCATGCAGGGACACAGTTCGGGGCCAGGAGGGCATGGCTGTCAAGCAAGGGGCTCGGTGGCGAAAACTGAAATGGCACGCTTAACAGGAAGACGCACGTTGCTACGCTACATCGGGGTTGAAAAATGCGCAGGCTGGAAAATGGAGGTATGCCGCGAGGCGGTTGGGGAGTGATGGGAAGGAACATGGGCGCATGACTGCGCGTTGAATTTGTCGAAATGCAAGGAGCAGCCGGGGGCAATCCGGCTGCAGGCACACCAAGGCAGCAGTCAAGGTGAGGGGTGGAGGTGGAACGAGCGCGCAGAGCCGCATGGGTGAGGTGTGGGCCGGGCAGGACAAAGCGCCAGGGCAGGCAGGCAGGCGGTGCTCGGGCATGACTCCAGGCCTTCAAGGGTGGGAGGGGGCTGTAGGCGGGCCGCCGTCCAGCCTGTCCAGAGCTGAGATGTAGGAGTCGGGCAGGTGGTGCGCGGCTGTCTCCAGCGTGACCACAAAGCGGCGGAAGGAGGTCTGGTCCATTTGGTACAGGCCCAGCACGGTGCCACCCCTGCTACCGCCGCCGCCAGTCGCAGGCAGCATCCACAGAATCTTGCCCGGCGGGTAGAGGGGCACCAAGCCCATTGCGACGCCCTCCTCCCCACCCTCGCAGCCGCCGTGGTCGGCGGCAAAGGCGGCGATGCTGGCGCCGCTGGCGCTGCTCCACGTGCTGCTGCCGCCGCGCCGGTGGCGCCCGCCGTGGGGGGGCTGCGCTGCCGCTGCTGCCGCCTCCTCTATCTCCAGCAGCTCCGAGGCGCTGTCTGCCGCTGCGCCTGCGCTGCACAGGCCGCGGCAGCCCCCAGCTCCGCATGCCGCCTCACACATAACGCTGCTGGTGGTGCTGCTGGCGCTGCTGGCGCTGGCGGTGCGGGCCAGGCTGGCGCTGACACCGGCCCCGCCGCGGCCACCAGGGGCCAAGCGCGCGGCGCGGAGCAGGGAGCCCACCACCTCTGCGGCCCTGCTGCTGGCATGGACCTCGGCAATCAGCATGCGCGCCCCCAGCACCGAAAACATGGGCAGGCAGTCGGCGCTGCGGCAGGGGAGGCGGGGCAGGGGCGGGCGTCAGTGCACTCGGATGCCGCGGCTGCGCCTGGCCAGCTGTTGTGCGGCTGCCAAGAGCAGGGCTGGCCCCCCCCACCACGCCACCCCACTCACCCATACAGCACCGAGGTGATGTGATGCTTGCACGCCATGCCCAGCTGCTGGCAGCAGGCGGCCGCCGCGCCGATGCCCACACAGCGCAGCTCGCCCAGCCGGCGCCAGCCCTGCTCCTCCTGCGCCAGCCCGCCGCCCTCCAGCAGCAGCATGGTGAGCACCGCCGCCACGCCGCCGCCGAGGGAGTGCCCTGTCAGCAGCACCGGCCAGCCTGGGCAGGCGTGTGCAGCGGCGGACAGTGCCGCCGCCACCTGGGGAAGCAGGCTGCGCGCCGCGGCCAGGAAGCCCGCGTGCACGTGGCCGCTGACGCCGCCCAGCACTGCCGCCGCCGGCCGAGCGTCCAGCACTGTACAGAAGTCGCCCAGCTGCAGGGATGGGGGCAGGCGTTGGTGGCGGGTGTGGTGGGATCATCGCTTCGACAGATAAGCACCAGCCAAGGGGCATGCCAGCAGGGGCGCCCATCAAACAAGAGTCACCTGCAGGGTGCCGCGGATGGCGACCACCACACAGCGGCGCTGGCGGTCGATGGCAGCGTAGAAGGCGGGGCGGTGCAGGTGTGCCTGCCACTGCGCCGCCAGCACGTCGCCGGGCGGGCAGCCCGTCAGCTGCTGCACGGCGCTGAGGTGCGAGGCAGCCGGGATGCGGCGCGGCGCCTTTCGCCTGCACACAAGCATGCGCGTGCGGGGTCGGGCGCGGGGATGGCAGCGAAATGCAGGCAGGTGCATCAAGCCGCGGGCAAGCAGCCATCCCCTGGGCTGCTGCCCTTGCGCACTCACGTGGCCTGATGCAGCGTCAGCACCACAGCGTATCCCGCTGCAGAGGAGACGTGGCCGCTGGCCGCAGGCGCCCCATACGCTGCCTTGGAGTGCAGCGCAGCGCAGCGCAGCAGCGCCACCTCGGCGTCTCCATCCCCCTGGCAGCGACTGGTGGCTGTGTTGGCGGGGTCGGCCGCCGCCCGCCGCACGCTGGCAGCCGCAGCCGCCTCGGCATGAGCGGCCTTGTGGCGCCACAGCACCGCACACAGCGCCCCCAGGTCCAGCAGCGCCAGCGCCGTCCACGGCGACTTGCCGTGGAAGGCGGTGGCGGCGGTGGCGCTGAGCCCGGCCGCAGCTCTGGGTGCATACGACAGGAAGGCCAGCTCGTCGGCAAGGTCGCCACCCACCAGCAGCGCCAGCCCGCGGCGCAGGCAGTTTGTCACGCCCTGCAGGTCGGGAAACGAGGTCGTCGGGCACGGTGCACGATGCAAGGCGGCAACAGCCAACCGCGGCGGTGATGCTGGCAGCACCAATTTCTGGCAGCCGGGGTCCCATCCACCCACTGCACAGCACTGTTCTCCATAGCCCTGCGGACCTTGCAAGCCCGGAAACTTCGAAACCGCAGACCGCCGCCACCCACATTTCTCGCGAAACCCACCTTGCCCGCATGCCCAGCAGCCTGTGTCAGCAGATCGTGACAGAGGTAGAGCCCCCAGGTCTGCAGAGTGACAAGTTGAGCCAACGCGGCCACCAGCAGCTGTGCAGCGGAGGCCGCCACTTTGGCTATCATGCTCGGCGGGGCATGCAGAAGAATCCCTCACGCAGAAAGGCATGCAGAAAGGCTCAAGCGGTGCGCCTATCGTTTCGTGATCTCCAGCCCCAGCGCACGAGGCAGGCACCCCCGCCCTTCTGCGCAAATGTGTCCAAAACATTACATGTGCTTGGTACTGCTTGCACCATGTACACAGGCATCGCAGGATGTCCACCAAAGCACCGCCCGCTGCTGGTCAGCTGCCGCCCGCCAGCAGGCAGGCGTCTTTGCCCTCCTCAGGCGGAGTGCTTGGAGACGGCACTGACGGCAGGAACAGCTGCTTTGCCTCAGGCAAGGCCAGGATGCTGTGCCCCTTGGCATTGGCGCCGGCTGTGACGGGCTCAGGGGCCACGTCCCGCACAGCCAGCCCGTTTCCCTGCCCATGCTCCAGGTGCTGCTGATCGCCGCCGCCTCCTCCACCACCCTCATCCTCCAGAAACGCGTCCCAGTCGTAGGCAGCAGGGTTGTAGCCGGCCAGCTCGCTGTCCGCCTCGGCGCCGCCAGCCACATCCTGCGCCTCTGCTACGCGAGCTGCCGCCTCCCAGGCCGCCACCTCCTCAGCACTCATCTGCTGCGCGGCCGTGTCGCCCTCCTGCGGTGCTGGCGGCAGCAGCGGCGGCGGAACATCCTCCTGCTCCCTGCTGCGCTGCCGGCCGTTGCCGTGCTGCCGCTTGCGATCGGCCGGGGAGGCGGACCGCGAGCGGCTGCGGCTGTGGCTGTGCCGCTTCTTCTCCTTCTTGTGCCTGCAGCAGGAGTGGACGGGCGGTCGTAAGCTGGGTGCTGGCGAGGCGCGACTGTGCGGTGACCGCACTTGCTGAGCAGCATGTCACTCTCAGCGGGCTGCGCAGGATACCGGCAATGCGGCAGCGAAGCAAAGAGCAGCAGCAGAGCAGCTCTCGCCGGTGCCTGAGGAGCAGGCGGGAGCTCACTTCTTGCGATGGTGCCTCTCCTTTTTGCTCCGCTGGTGCTTGTGGCCACGCCCGCTGTCCTCCGCCTCCCCGGGCTGCGCGCCATGCGGCTCCGCCGCGCCTGCCGCCACGCCCGCCTCCTCCTGCTCCTGCTGCTCCGCCTCCTGCCCCTCGCCACCCTCGTTCAGATATGCATCCCAGTCAAAGTGGTCGGGGTCGTACCCAGCCAGCTCATCCTGGGCGCCGGCAGCCTCGTGCTGCGACGCCCGGCTCTCCACATGCGCCTCCCGCTGCGCCCCGCCCTCCTGCGCCTTCTGGGCCGCGCGGTGCCTGGCCAGCGCCTCTGCAGCCGCCCGGCGCAGCTGCTCCTGCAGGTTGCCACCGCTGCTGGGGCTGCCCGCACGTGCCGGCCTGGGGGATGGCGGCGCGGGCTTGGCGGGCGGCGCCTCTGGCGCGGGCACATTCCAGCGGGGCACCGGCGTCTTCTTGCGCTGCCGCTGCCTGCTGCGGCTGCGGCTGCTGGAGCTGCTGCGGCTGCGGCTGCACCGTGAGCGGCGGCCGCGCGAGGCGCGCCGCCCTGGCCTGCTGCGCGAGCGCCCCCTGCTGCGGCTGCGGCTCGCGTGGCTCCTGCCGCGGCCTCGGCTGCGGCTCCTGCTATGGCTGCGGAAGCGGCGGCGACCGCCACCCCTGCCGGACTGCCGCCTGCCCCCACTGCTGCTGCGGCTGCGGCGCCTGCGGCCACCGCGGTCCACGATAGGCGAGTAATGCTGCCCTGCTGGCGCCGCCGGCGAGGCAGCCGGCGGCGCTCCAGCCGGCGGCGCTGTGGCGGCAGCTGCTGGGAAGAGCGGCTGGGCCGGCAGCTGGAACATGCTGGGCTGAGGTGGCCTGCAAGGCAGGCAGGCATACGCACCGTGCGTCAGGCACCGCTTGCAAGTGGGCCAACCCCCGACTCTTCGCTCGACGTGGGAGCAAGACAGGTACTGACCAACTTGCACCGGCTGCCACCCCTGCTCACCTCATGGTGGGTGGCCAGAAAAAGCGCTTGGGCCCCGGCCTGGTTGCCAGCAGGGCAGGGCGCCGGGGGGGGCACGGCCGGTTGGGGGGCGGTGCAGGTGCTGGGAGGGGCTTTGGCCGCAGCAGGGCCGGATGCCGGAGGCCCTGGAGGAGGCGGGGGCGGGGACACGCCGCCAGGCGGCGGCACCACCACCGCCAGCTTGGCTTTCCCCTTAATAATCGGCACCACCGCCGCCCTCGGCTCCTGCAGAGCCACAGCGCATCAACAGAACAGGTGAGTTGAGCAGCAGGCAGCTCCCCCACATGTATTGCCAGCCATGGCAGCATGCCAGGGGCGCCTCCCGCGCCGCTGCCACCACGCCTACGATCCACACGCGCCTGCTTCTGCTCCTCCGTCTCCTGCCCCTCCCCATCATCCGCTGCGCCCGGCACTCGCTCCTTGAGCATCTGCATCAGCTGCTCCTGGGTGGGCTCCTCCCCGCCCTTGCCGGCAGGCTTCAGCGGCACCTCCTGCACCACGAGGGGCCCCGCGGGTGCCTTGCCGGCAGCACCTCCCTTGGGCTTGTCTGCGTCGCTGCCATGCGCCGTGCCAGTGCCCGCCATGCTGCTATAATAGTCGTAGCCGGCTCCATAGTAGGCGGCAGCTGAGTAGGCGTCGTAGCCTGCGGGGGGGCAAGCAGCGGGCATGCGGGGGGGGGCCGCGGGAGCGCGGTGTCAGGAGCCCCGCCGGGCAGCAGGCCTGGATCTGCTACAGAGCGCCCACCTGGTGCACTTAGCCTCTACCCTGCCACCAGGGGTGCGAAAAGCGAGCTACGCGCTGCCGGTAGCGGCCATGAACGCTCACACGCCCAAGCACACGTGCGGCTGGGCATGCAGTCACCAGCGCGGTGAGCTGGGCTTTGCCGGGTGCTGTGCAGCAGCAGCTCAACAGCATGGTCTCAGTGATCTTGCTCAGGCATGCAGTGCAGGGAGGGAGGGTGGTGCACACACCTGGGTATCCGTAGCCGTAGGCGCCGTAGCCCGAATATGCGCCATAGGCTCCATAGTATGCGGCGGCGGCGGCGGCACCATAAGGGTCGGCGGCGCCATAATACGACGCGGCATAGGCAGCGGGGTCGTAGCCGGCGGCCGCATAATACTCTGCTGCCTGCTGCTGCGCGGCGTCCTGGCCCGCTGCAGCGGCAGCGGCACCAGCGCCATCTGCTGCTGCCGCCGCATCCCCCTGGGCAGCCGCCGTGCCCTCCTGCTGCGCCGAAGCGTCCTGCCCCGCTGCCCCAGCCTGGTCAGCGGGCACAGAGGTTGGGTCACCGCTGGCGACGGATGCTGTGCCCCCCGCATCAGTGGCTGCCCGGTCAGCCTGGCCTGCTGCAGCCGAGGCGGCATCGCCAGCTGCGGCCGGCACAGGTGCGGGCCCTGCAGCGCCGCCGGCCCCGCCTGGCCATCCTCCTGCTACGCCCTGGCCATTCATCGCCGCATCTCCATCATCCCAGGCTTGCATGGGCTGCTGCCGGTTGAGGTACTCATGAGCTGCTGCTGTTACTGCTGGGTCGGCCGGCTGCAACGGGTCGTAGGGCGGCGGCGCCTCCGGAGCCTGCGGGTCAGCGGCTGCGGGGGTGGTGGCCTGCTCCGGCGCCTCGGCCTGCTGGTTCACCTCGATTTCCGCTGCAGAGCCAGGCTGCCAGAGGGCCATCGGCTCCTGCTCTTCCTCGCCCGGCTGGGGCTGCCCTCCGCCCGCCGCAGCATCGGACACCAGCTGCAGCGCCGCCTGCTTGGCTGCTAGCAGCGGGTCGGCCGGGTCAGAGACCGCCTGATGCGGGGCGATGGCCACCTCTTCCCCTGCTGCTGCTACTGCAGCTGAGGGCGCCTCCTCCTCGGCCTCCATGTCAAAGACAAGCACCTGGAGGAGTACACAGCGCAGGGCCGGTTGCAACGAGAGCAGGGCATCGAAGGCGGGCTGGAAGAAGGCAGGCTGATACAGTAGCTTACCTTCGAGCTGTGCCTGATTGCTGTGGGCGGTTCTGGGTTGCACCTGCGCGTGTTGCGGCACCCTGCACGCCGATCGGAGAGATGGCCGACACATGTCCCACCTCTGCCACAACCGTGCGCTGCATTATATTTGACCTCGATGGTAGGCCTGCTGCTTCTTCCTGGCGTTTGGCAGTGTTAGTGCCTGGCCCCGCCCAATCCTCCGCCGCCGCCGCCGCCGCAGCCGTCGACTCCACCCGCCTCTCCATGCCCGCAGGCACGGTGCTGGACACGGAGACGCTGGTGCTGGAGGTGGTGAAAGTGGTGGTGGAAAGCCACGGCAAATCGCTGACCACCGCGGCTGCGACGCAGGCGCTGGGCATGCGGCCACTTGACGCCTGGGCTGCAGGTGAGTGCTGTTGTGTCGAGCTGCCGTCATGATGTATACCCTGACTGGCACCTTGCTCCATGCACGATGCAGTGGCTCGCACGTTGGGCATTGACAAGTCGGCAGAGGAGCTGTTTGCCCAGTCGGAACCCCTGCTGCGTGACAGGTGCTGGCCAGCATGCCGAAGAACACCAAAGCAGCCGCACAGCAAACTGAGCACCAGCCGCTCAAATTGGTGGAAGCACGCCCCCGCCTCACCCGTACCCTGCACTGTCCCTGCCTGATCCCGCAGGTGGCACGAGGCGCCGCTGCTGCCGGGCGTGGCGCGGCTGGTGGCCCACCTCAAGCTGCACGGCGTGCCGCTGGCGCTGGCCACCTCCACCTCACGCGCCACCCTGGACCGCAAGCTGAGCAGCAAGGACGACATGCGGCAGGCGTTTGCGCAGGCGTGCTGCGGGGATGAGGTGGCGCAGGGCAAGCCCGCCCCAGACTGCTTCCTGCAGCTGGCGCAGCGGCTGGGCCTGGCGCCGGGCGAGTGCCTGGTAATCGAGGATGCGCCCGCGGGCGTGCAGGCTGCTGCGGCGGCGGGCATGCGCGTGGTGGTGGTGCCCAGCCTGGTGCTGCAGGGCGGCAAGCCCTCTGAGCTCTACACGGCGCCAGCACCCTCTGCCGCCGCGGGCTGTGTATCGCTGCTGCCCTCGCTGCTGGACTTCCGCCCGGAGCATTATGGCTTGCCTCCCTTCACAGGTGGGTGGGGCCCAGCCGGCAAGCGGGCGGCTGTTTGCAGTGTGCATGCCCCAGTGCCCCGAGCCTGTTGGTGGCATGTTTTGCTGCAGACTACATTGGAGAAACAATACCGATGCACCCCGTGGTGCGCATCAAGGGGACGGTTGTCAAGGGTTTTGGACGAGGCTCCAAGCAGCTGGGCATCCCCACCGCAAACGTGGACCCCGACAGCCTGCGCACCGTGCTGGCAGAGGCGGTCACAGGTTGGGCCGGCCGAATGCGGTGTTGCACCTGGGCTGTGCAGCGCCTGATCTGTCACACACAATGCCATTCGTGCAGGAATTTTTGCGGGCTGGGCGGCAGTTGGGCACTCGCCCAAGCTGTACAAGACGGCCTGCAGCATAGGCTTCAATCCAGTGTTTGGCAACCAGGTCGGGAGGCTGCACCAGGCTGGGCACAGCTTGTCAATGAGCTGCCTCATTGCAAGCTTCCCCCCCTCACACACTTGCAGAGCAAGACATGCGAGCCTTGGTTGTTGCATGACTTTGGCGGCGAAGACTTCTGTGGCTCCGAGATTCGGCTGATCATCTGTGCCTACATCCGGCCAGAGGCGAGTGCACCCATGCACCCAACAAGCCGCTCATTGCCACGTTGGTACACATCTGGGCCTGCAATGAGCTAGCAAAGAGCTAGCGAAGTGTGTGCTTTGCAGGCCAACTTTCCCAGCCTCCAGGCCCTGATCGATCGCATTCACAAGGATGCAGCAGTGACGGAAGAGGCCCTTGAGGGTGACATGTACCAGCATTACAAGCTCGATCCATTCCTGGCTCCGCAGCCCGACGGCTGCGGTTGATCAAAGGGAGGCGGCATGATGTGCCGGCTTTGCCAGCTGGCCAGCGTGGCTATTGCAATGGGCTTACACCTCAAAAACAGGCAACACAGGCAACACAGAAGGGAAATGCAGACAAGAGAGCAACATACGACGATGCGGGGAACAGCATGGACGGAGAGCGGGGGAGGGCCCCTCTACATGCCTTGCCTGTCAACGGCCGAGTAGCGCCTGCCGGCGCCCGCCCCAGCGCGCTGCGGCATCGCCTCCCCACTCACATCCATGCCGTAGCCGGCAGGGTAAGCTGCCTGGGCTGGGTGCAGCGAGCCCATGGAGCCATCCTCTGGCGCAGAGATGGTGAGGGGGCGTTTGACGGGCTGCGGTGGCAGCGGGGCGGCCGGCATGGTGGCGGGCTCCATGGGCTGGTAGGCGGGCTGGTAGGTGGGCATGGCTGGCACTTGCATGCCTGCACAGCGCGGGGGCAGGGCAGCAGGAGTGGTGAGGAGCGAGCTGGCAGGAAGCTGGCTGGGCACAGGGCAGCATGAACGGTGGCGCAAGAACGAAAGTAGGCGTCTGCGCCCTCATGCGGTCTTAAGACAAACAGACTGGCACACGGTGAAGGCCGCCAGCTGCCTGCCGCCTCACCAGGGGCTGTTGAGTAGGGCACCGCGACGTAGGCGTAGCCCGGCTGCATGCCGGGGCCCGTGGCGTACTGCATGGGCTGCTGTACCGCCACGTACTGCATGGCCTGCTGCAGCTGCTGCTGCTGCTGCATGGGCTGCTGCTGCATTGGCTGCTGCTGCAGCTGCTGGTGCTGTAGCTGCTGGTGCTGCAGCGGCGCCTGCATCTGGTGCTGCTGCAGCTGCTGGTGCATGAGCGTGGGCGCAAAGCCGCCGCCCATGGCAATCTGCTGCAACGCCGCCGCCGACTGCTGCGCGCCCATCTGGGCCGCGGCCACCGCCGGTGCGGGCTGCTGCTGCTGCTGCATGTGCTGTGCATGCTGCTGCTGCTGAAGGATGGTCTGCTCCACCGACTCGGGCACATGATAGATGGGCGCAGCCATGACGGGGGCAGCAGGCGCAGCCACAGCGGGCGCGGCACTGGCTGCCACGGCGGCATAGGCAGGCGCGGGCGCGGCAGCGGGCGCCACAACGACAGCCGCCTGCGGCGGCGCCGCGGGCGTGCGCTCCGCAGGCGCCGCCTGGCCAGGCTGGAAGTGCTGAGCCTCCACATTCAGCTGCTTGCCGCGGCGCCGCCGGCCGCCGCCGGGCGACTTGGCGCCGGCGGCGGAGGCGGCCACCACCTGCCCACCCTGCACGTGCAGCACCTTGGGAGCGGCTGAGCCAGCGCCGCGCCCAGCGCCACGCCCCGCGCCGCGGCCTGCGCCCCTGCCGTTGGCCGCGGCACCAGCCTGCGCTCCGCGGCCGGGCTTGTACTGGCCCTGCGCGCTGCCGGGCTGCTTGTGCTCAAAGCCGGGCGGCGGGAAGTCTTCCTCGTTGTCCCCCACAAACCCGCCGCTGGCCCTGCACCACAGTGCCAGCAGCAGGGGTGCACAAAGGGTGCATGTCGGCCAGCAGTGCAGCCACTAGACAAGCATGCACAGCCAGTGGGGTGCGGAGGTGCAGGCAGGGGCAGAGAAGGCACGGGCACAACAGGCTGCAGGGCCGGAGGGTCACCTGGAGGCCGGGCGGCGTGCCACTGCTGGCGGCGCTGTGTTGGCGGCTGGCGGCGCTCCAAAGCCGCCGTAGCCGTCGTCATCATTGTACTGCACAGGTTCCCGGCCGCCACGCGCGCCGCGCCCGCCCCTGCCCGACGCGGGGCCCCGGCCCTCGCCGCGCCCGCCGCCGCGCCCGCCCCTCCCGCGTCCCTGTCCGCCCACGCTCATGCGGCCAAAGGTCTGCGGCAGGGCGGCACGCCACCAACCCATGAGCTGCGACATCAGGGCGCATGCCGGGCAGGGGAGGCTGCGCAGCGCACAACCCCTTTGTTGACCGAGATGCGACCAGGCGCTCTGTGCAGGAGCCCACTGCATGCTGGCTGCCTGCGCCCCACCTCGGCGATGTCGACCTGCGGCTCCTCGCCGCGCTCCAGCGCCTCAAACGCGTCGTGCCCCCACCGCTCCTTACTGGATGCATCCCACAGCTTGCCTCGCTCCCTGCAGGGCAGCCGGGGGGACCGACAGGGTCGGGGCCAGCAAGGGCAGGCAGCACCGCCAGCACAGCTGCCGGTGGCAGTCGGCCGAGCGTCTCCTCCACCCAGCGCGGCACGGCGCCACCCAAGCCTCACTTCTGGCGCTCATCCAGCTCGGCGTCGGGCTCGGCGCTGCGCATGCCGCCGCCGCCCTCGCCCTCGCCCTCCCCCGGGTCGAAGCGGTCGTCATGCAGCCAGAAGTCGCCGCTCTGGGGCACCTCAAATGGCTCCAGCCGCTTGCGCTGCACAGCCGGGCAGGGGTGGAAGGGCAGGGAGAGGGTGAGGGAATGGCTGCGATGCGCCAGCTGGACCTTGCACATGCAGCAGCCTGTGGCCTGCAGCGGTATGCCTGCCATGACTAATGCCTGGCAGCAGTGGCGCCCAGGCCGCTGCGGCCGCTGTCTCATGGGCGAGCTGGGAGCACTGCTCCCAGTCACCACGCCTGCACGCTTCGCACCTGCACCTTGGGCTCCGGCACCGCCTCTTGTTCGCCCTTGGCGCTGCCTGCCTCGCCGCCCCCCTGCACAGCAATAGCGAGGTCTCACAGCAGGCCAGAGAACAGCTGCGCAACACCCTCGCAACGAGGCGGGTTGGCAGGGGCGGGAGCGGGCTGGCGGTGGTCTCCTCTGTTGCCTGCACGCTTACCTCTTCTTCCTCCTCCACCGTCTTTCCGGCAGCTACAGCCTCGCCCTCGACTACAGCCTCCTCCTCCTCCTCCTCCTCGCTCTCCTCATCGCCCGAGTCGCTGAACTCACCCTCCACCTCCTCCACCTCCTCCTCCGATAGCTCCTCGTCGCTGGCGGCGTCGCGTTTCTGCATCTGGGCCCCGCTGATCTGCACGGGCAGCACAGAACACAACTTTTGCCGATGGCAAGTCCCATCAGGGCCTACTCCCATTGTTTGCACTGCCCACAGGCGCCGATCGCCCAACTCAGGGCGCCGTGGGTGCTTGGGCGAACCTGTCGGCTGTGTGGAGGCGGGTGTAGGGTGTAGGACGCGAGAACCCCTGCCTCCTTGCACTTTGCAAGCCACGATCGTTCTGCTGGAAGTGATGGAACCGAACGGTGCGGCCGAAAAGCCCTCTTGAAGCCCCGCAGCACGCCACAGCAGGGTGGCCCATGCGCTAGCTGCAGGTGTGCCTGGATCGCCTGATCGCCGGAGTCTGCAGAGACTTTGACACAGCCAGCCCGGGTTGCGCTGCCCACTGCCACTGCCGCGCCCCGCCTAACCCGAGGGGGGCGACCGGCTCTGCAGGCAGCGCCTGGATTGAGGCCTTGCCCGCTGCCTGCCGCCATGGCACTCCGGCAGCTGGCCCAGCGCTTAGGCCTTGCCCGGGGAGCCGGCCTCCTGCGTCCGTTTAGCACGGCACCGAGCGTTTATGACAAGAGTGAGTGGAGGGGGAGGTCTCGACAGGCCCTGCCGATGCTTAGCCGATTAGACCGACGCCACCGCCCGCCCTCCGACCCAGCATACCGCCCGCTTGCTTTTGGACTGCAGTGGTGCAGCTGACGATTGTGGATTACAGCGGCAGGCGGCATGTGGTGCGGGGCCTGGAAGGGCAGAGTGTGGTAGACGTGATCGAAGGCCACATGGATTCGTTGGGGGAAGAGGGTACGCATCAGCTGCCTGCTCGCTCAGCCCATCCGCGCACCGTCAACAGAGGGGCGTGTTGCGATTGATGGGAACCTGGCCTCCTGCTGCTGCAGCGCTGTGCCTCTCGCCAGAGGGGCGGGACACGCGTGAGACCCACATCAAGCTGCCCAACGAGCTGCTGGCTGCCTTCCCGCCACACACCGGCGACGATGCGCGCTTCCTGGCAGAAATTGCAGAGCCCAAGGCGGTGGATGCACAGTGAGTGTTCAGCTCATGCACAGTGATTTTTCAGCCTGGGGATGGAGAGGCCAAGACCGGGGCTCACAGCAGCCTGGTGTCCCACTTCCTCTTTCCTCCCGCTGCCTGCCTGCAGCTCGCGCCTGGGCAGCAAGGTGACGCTGAGCAAAGAGCTGGACGGCACAGTGCTGGCTTTGGCGCAAGTGTACCCCTGGAAGTCGCTCTGAGCCCCTGCGCCGAGTGCCTGGGTCAGCATGGCCGACGCGCCTGGAGCAACCAGGGGACCCCCATCGTGCGCAGCAACCACAGCACGCTGATGCGTGCATTTTTGCTGTGCTGCGAGTTTGAGCTGCTGATTTCTTACATTGGGCAACACGCACAATGAGAGAGCATCCTCAGCCGCCATGCGTGCACATCAGCTTCGTGACAGGGCTGGTGGCAGCAGGAGGAACCGGCCGATGCTCACTGTGTGCAGGCTGATTTGGCCGCCGCTGGCGTGCCTGCCGCCCCCACACCGCTTAGGTCGAGCACACTCACATAATTCCCACCCAAGTTGCCAAGGAAGAGCTTGCCGTCGTGCTCCGTGACGGAGCTGACGCTTGCCACGTGGCTGCCATCAGGATCCATCAAAACTTGCAGCACCTCGCCCTCGGGTGACACCTGCATGGCATGGGGCATGCTGCCCTCAACTGTGTGGGAAGGCCTCCTCAGCCAGGGACACCCTGGACAAAGACAAAGAGGACGGCAGGCACTCGGTCAAGCAGCGGGGATGGTTTTACCTTGGCTACACATCCCCACTGAGGTTTGTGGGGCAGCATCCACTCAGGCAGGTTTGCAATAATGCTCAGCAGCCAAGGCTTGGAAAGCACTTTGTGCACCTGCACTTGCAGAAAATCAGCTGTAGCCGTGCCAGCCATGGATCTGGCGCTGCATTGCCCGCATCTGTTTGCCTCATTCCACAGCTCATCTCTGCAGCATACTGCTCCTGGCCACTGCTCACTAGGGGTAGGTCGGGCAGGACGAGGCACAGCCAGAAGTTCTTGCCATCACTGGACCGCACAATGTTGTCGGGCCAGCCAGGCAGCCGGTCGATCAGGGTGTCCATCGTGCCCGCCTGCAGATGCATGAACAAGCCGGTTGGAGCGCATCAGGAGAGCTGCAAGGTCAGCCACACTGTGACACTCCAAGCCCACAAGCCGCCGGCACCTTGGGTCCCTTGAGCCAGTACCGCCGCGCCCGCATGGAGCAGGTCTCCACCACAGCCACAAACGACTCGTCGGGCGACAGCGCCACGCCGTTGGCGTACCACAGGCCGTGTGCCAGCACGCTGGTGGAGGCTGTGGCTGGGTCGTAGCAGAGCAGGCGCCCCATGGGGGCCCCGTGCCACATGGTCAGCATGTAGCTTCGCATCGTGTCGAACCTGGAGCACTCCAGGGGCACGGGAACATTCCGGAGAGAGGTGCAGCAGCAGAAATTGCTAACAAAAGGCTGCATGGACAGCCCAGAGTGTCCAGCCTAGGTGCGCTGCCACTCACCAGGGGCGTGGTACTGCCTCATTGAGGGCTGGAGGGATGATGGAGCTGTCTGAAAAGAAGATCTTTCCATCTGCTGCTGTGTCTAAGTCATTTGCGTACGAAATGGGACGCCCATCGACAAAGTTGCTCAGAGAGCGCAGCTGCCACTTGCCGCCGCTGGGCAAACGCTCCAGCATCATGAGGCCCTGCAAGCCAGCAGGGTGCATGCTGTGGGTGCACATGCCAGCTTCAAACCCCCAGTGGAGCTTGCTCGCTCCGCCGCAACGCATGTAACCATCCATAACCCTGTCACCTTGAGCGAGTCGCAGAAGATGAGGTCGCCTTTATGGTTATGGTGGAATCCCAGCGGCCGCCCCGGCCCGACGTATGCCAGTAGCTCGTCGTCCAGGCGGTAGTCGTCGCCTTCGGCGCTGGCCGTGCGCACGCAGCCCCACTTGTCCATCATCCACAGCTGTCCGTCTGGGGCTACCGCCACCGACTCTGCGGGGTGGCCATACCGCAGGCAGCATTGGTTGGTGGTACTCGCTTCCCCGCAATTTTCGTGTTCATGCATGCAAAAACTTTTTGTCATACCTGACCCCACAATTTCGCCCTGGAACAAACGACGTGCTTGCCGCAACAGAGAATTGGGCGCCCATACTCCCTCCCTTGGGCACGGCTTCGGCAGCCGGTCGGCCGGGATGGGCACGGGGGAGAGGTTGTGCGCAGGGAATGGCAGCGGCATGGCTGCCGCGGCGTGCTGGTGTTTGTGGATGGTAGATTAACCTCTTTTCCTGCAGCATCACAGCTGGGCTCTAGCATTCACTTGCTCTTATGGGTGGTTAAGACGGACAGACAGCAGGTACCGTTGACAGGCGGCGAAGGGAAAGGTGGCCAGGCGCCTCTGCAGGCCGCCCAGCTCCCACTGCGGGCCTGTGTAGCCCCACAATCGACCTGCAGGGTGCGCCAAGCCTCTCACCTGGAGGCAAAGGCGTTTGCGTCCGGGCCCAAAGGCTACTTGCAGCCTTTATTTAGGGTGGACTGGGAAGGGTATTGTGCGATCAATTGCTGTGGCCTAGAGCCAGGTAGGCCTCCTAGAGCAAATGATCGACACTGTCTGGCAGAGCTGATGAGGCAAAACTTATGATAGCTGGTCGCCATCAATCCATCATTTCATTGATTTTGTTGTGGGCTGCAGTTATTCGCAGCAGAGGAGTGGAGCAGCTGTGCAGCAAGTCTTGTCATCACAATACTCGTTGGGAATGGAGGCTGCGGCGTCCAGCTGCAGCGTAACAGCGCCTCTGGCCGCCATCACTCTGGTGATCACATTCGCGCTGAACGTTTTGGACAGGCTGGTGAAACGATGGAAGGTGGGCGCTGCTACAGTGCACTGTGTTGCTCCTCCGCCCTCCCACACACTCATGGAGGGCCCAGCGTGCAATGACACAGGTCCCCGACACGCGGCGGCAGCAGTTTGAGCTGCAGCAGGAGGTGGCTCACCTGCAGCGGCAGGCCGCGGCGCTCAACCACCCCGACACATTTGCCCAGGTTTGCGAGGAACTGCAGAGCCAAGGCTGCTGCTGGGAATCAGGGCCGCTATTTGTGGAACCACGTGTTTGCCCGTGGGATTGATAGGCGGGCTGAAGCCGACACCCTGATGCGCCTCTTGCGACCGCAGAGTGCCAAGGCGGAGCGCAAGGCAATAGCGCTAGAAAAGGAGCTGGCCAAGCTTCGGCAGCAGCAGGTGCGAGGCAGCAGGTGCAATGGTGGACCGTCTCGCAAGATGCGCGTTGGGCCGCAACAAGGAACAGAGGTGCAGATGCCAGTCTCGCTGCTGGCTGTGCCAGCAGCTCACCCGCCCCCAAGCATCGCGTGCTGTGCAGGCCGAAGCTGGGGCGCAACGGCTGCTGCGGGTGCCCCAGATACTGCGCATCCTGCTGCTCCTGTGGCTGGCCTATCAGTCGGGTAGGTGCTGCTGCAACTAGTTTGGTGTGGCATGATGGGGAATGACGACCCAGCGTGAGGGACGTGTGTGATTTGCGGTGCCTCCTCCCCTTCTGCCCTGCCGTGCAGCCAAGGTGCCCGTCGTGGGCATTCTGCAGCCTGAAACTGTGTGGCCGTTGGGGCGCTGGCTCAGCCTGGGTACAGGTGGGTTGCTGCCGCAAGCTTGCCCCTGTGCCAAGCGCTGTGGTGCCGGCATGCTGAATGCGGCAGCAGGGCTTGTCAGGGTAACAGTTCCACTGTACCAATTGCCCTGGCTCATGTCGTGCAACCGCTGCAGGCAAAGCTGGTGCACCAGGCGCAGTAGGCCTGCTGGCATGGGCGATGCTGTGCCAGCGCGTGTCATTGGCCATCCTGGGTCGGAACTGATGCCTGGCCCCTCCTCTGCCAGCCAGGACAACTGTGTCGTAGTGAAGAGGAAGAGAGATTGCAAAGAATGCACCTGAGTGGTGAAACTTGAAACACATGAAATGGAACAGGGAAAACAGGGAAACAGAACAGAGCGCTGAGCAGGAACAGGCGCAGGCAAATGCAGCCCAAGATTGCGGCAGTCCGCTGCCTTGTCTGCCAAGCGCTGCGTCATGCCTCCAGCAGCCCCTCGTCGATCCAGCACTCTATCAAAAACTCCACCATCTCCTGCAACACATACCCTCGTTGTCAGCAACCAATTAATTTATATAAGTCAAACCTCGACACCCCCTTTTGCTCTTAGCGCCCAGCGCACCTTGAGGGGTACAGGTTCATCGAACCGACGGCTGCCGCCCAGCACCTCTTCGTACCCAGCGTTCAAAGGGATCACTGGCAGCCTGGCCTGCTTCGGCTCGGTCTCGCCGTTGGTGCGCTTGCGTGTCTTGCGCGTCCACTGCCTCCGCTGGGCAGCCCACCCTTCAGGCCCACAAAGGGGCTGCGCCGCCGAGGTCGAGGGGACGTCCGCTAGCTGAGACACTGCTGCTGCTGCCAATGCTGTTGGAGCGGCTGCTGCTGGTGGGTGTGCTGTGGCACAACTTCCCCCCGCCGCTGGTAGTGGCGCCGCTGGTAGTGGTGCCGCCGCCGCCGCCGCTTGCGATGCCGCCGCCTCTTCTGCTTGCTGCGGTGTTGGTGCAGCTGCAGGCAACTGCATGGTGCATTGCTGTCGTGCTTCTAGGTCCAGCCCAGAGGTCATGGTCTTGAGTTCTCCAAAACCGGATCACTCTGGAGGGCGGCGAGGGCTGGGGCGGATGTTGGCAAGGTTTGTCTGGACGTGCGCAATATAGCGCATAGAGCTCGACTGCTGATCCATTCCCCGGTTCGGTGTGCAACTTGTATTGCTGAAGTGCGCCTGACTTGCTTCACAACCCGCTCTGCGAGCAGGCTAGTGTGGGTCCCGATCCATCTGCATATCTACCCACTTGATCTGCTCTTTGCCACAGTGTGCGATCGCGCTGGGCTGGCTGGGCCGGCCGGCAGCGAAACCGTCAGTTGCGGTGGTGCAAGCAGCCGTTTCAGCAGCAGCAGCCGCGCCTGGGGCGCGACAGCGACTCTGGCCCATGCACGGCCGTTTCGGCAGGGCTCTAGTATGATTTAAAAGCCGTACTAGCGCCGACTCCGGGCACTGTCAGATCAGAGAGGGAGGGTGTAGCCTCGGCCCCGCAGCCCTGCAGGGGCGGGGTTCCAGCAGCAGCGGCAGCCGGCACACACTTGCCGCCAGCGCCCGGCGGTTTCGGTGTATGAGCGCCCCCAAGCGTCTGCGGCCCCTGCTCCTGCCTCTCAAGCGCTGCTGGGCGCACGCTGCTAACATGGACGTCACGCAGCTGGATGTCTTTAGGTTCTGCCGCTTCCTACGTCATGTCGGGAAGGTGGGCAGCGCAGGCGACCGGGAGCGGGTCCATAGAACATGAGCAGGTGACCACGCAACGTGTTGCCTCCATCCGCGCCCGCAGATCATGGTTGTGTTTGTGCTGGCGCTGGTGCTCGCCATCTACTACTCGACCATGAAGCAGTGGGTACAGCTGCTGGCACCAGGGGCCAGTGCCTGCCCTGGCGCTGCTGCAGCACAGCCGCAGCGCACGATGGCTGCGACCTCCAGCTCGTGACCCGCCTACATCCCACACTATCTGCCTTTGCAGCGGCATAGTGCCAGGCATGCATTCTAGCAGCGCAGGAATAGCGGCGGCAGCGACGCTGGGCGCTGCGCTGTACACGGGGCTGGTGGTGCTGGTGCTGTGGAGCTACCTGGCCTGCTTCCTCACCCAGCCTGGCCACGTGCCGCCCAGCTGGCACCCCTTCCAGGATGCCGAGGCAAGCGACGGCGCTTGTGCCTGGTTTGCCTGCTTGCTTTCTGGGTCTGGTGCTGCCTTGATGCAAAGTCAGGATGGCTGCAGCGGCAGCGACTGCGTCGCATGAGGCTGGCTGGCACATGCAGGCCGCCGCCGCCGAGCTGGAGGCCTGGGAGCAGCTGGCATACGAGCAGCAGCAGCGGCGGCAGCACCAGTGGGAGGGCGAGATGGGGCGCGTCGCCGTCAACCGCCCGCGCTACTGCCGCAAGTGCAAGGCCTGGAAGCCGCCCCGCGCGCACCACGACAGCATGACGGGGCGCTGTGTGCTGCGCATGGACCACTACTGCATGTGAGCAGAGGCGCGGTGGCTGCGGGCAGGCCAGCCATACCTCCTTGCCTCCTTGCCTGCACCCCGGGTCGCCTGCTCGCCTGCCCGCTCTTCACGCCTCCCACTCTCTGCGTGCAGCTGGGTGCTCAACTGCGTGGGCCTGCTCAACTACAAGTTCTTTGCCCTCTTCCTATTCTACGCCTGCCTGGCGTGCACAGCCAGGTGTGACCACCTGCATGTCACCCTGCCACACACCTGCATGCTGGTACTGCAGCCGCTGTCCTTCGGAGCGGTCGCATCCTGCCCTGCGGAACGTTGCCCGCTTCTGGCATGCTCCCCTTCCAACACACTCTGCCTGCCCCCTGGCCCCTTGCTGCTGCAGCGCTGCCCTGCTCATCAAGCCCTGCATGGATGCCTTTGGCACGTCCAGCCCCACAGTTGGCGGCCTGATCTTGACTTTCATCACCTTTGTGTTCAGCGTGGCATTCAGGTAGGGTGGCGGGCAGCCGGCTGGCCGGCAGGATGCGGCTCCGCCCAGCAGCAGTGCTTCAAGTCTGGCATTCGACTTCCTCTTCCCTCGACGCGGCCTGTTATGCAGCCTGGCGCTCATGGGGTTTGTGTTCATGCACGGCCGCCTGTGCGCACGCAATATGACCACAATAGAGGCGTACGAGAAGCGGCCAGTCAAGTGAGCCTTTGCCAGCTGGGGCGTTGCTTCGGCGTGGCAGTGCTGCTGCCTGCGCGCCTGCCAGGGGCTGCCCTGCCAGCCTGGTGTCCTGACATGCCTGCCTGTTGCCATGCTGCCACCATCAGCCCGTGGCCCTACGACCATGGCACGCTACAAAACTTCCAGGAAGTGTTTGGGCGCGACCGCCGCTACTGGCTGCTGCCGATGCACACGCCGAACTATGCGCGCAGGTGCGAGCAGCCGTGCATGTGCAGCCTGGTTTTGAGCAGCTGGACATGTACCTTGCACTTGGAATCGAGCCCTGGGCGCTGTTCTGAGTGTGTGGTTCTGCCTGCCTGCAGCATGCTGGACGATGCGCTTCGAGTGCCGCCACCCCCCGAAGAGCTGCTGGGGATCCGCGATACCGTCTAGCATTCTAGCATGCACAGCCCTGTAATCACAAGCACTACTCCATGGCCCTGCATGCGCCAGGCCGCAAAAGCCGGTGACAGAGGAGGAGGCACCTGCTGCGGCGGCAATACCAATGCAGTACATCACAGGAATGGCGCTGCCTCATTCTGAGGCCTACAGCACTGCTTCAAGGCTCCTCAGCATTTGTCTGCCGACCCGCGGATTTCACCCCAGAGCTCTACATCGATCGCTGCTCGGCGTTTCGACAGACCTGTAGGCGTTGCACGCCTTTGGAAGGCGACTGCAATCAAACCTGGCGTATCGACATCCATAGAGAAAGGCGGCGCCACGCAGCAGGCAGTTTAACGCCCTCTCTACCTCCCGCCGCCACTTGCGGCATGGAAACCCTACCGGATGCGCTGATCCTCAGCATTTTTGAATGTCTGGATGCTGCCACGCTGCTCAACCGCGTCGTGATTGTGAGCAAGAGATTTTGCAGCATCGTGGAAACATCACAGTCGCTATGGCTGTCACGGCTACCGATGCTGGCTGCCTCGATGCGCGCCGACTCCGGCGGCATCCCGCCGCTGCGCCTGCCCAAGCTCTACTGCGAGCTGTACAACACCAACCTGCTCCTAAACCCCTGGCTGTCGCTGGAGGAGCAGCTGGCTGCACGGCGCAGCGACGGCGGCGACGTGCCCGGCCGTGGCAAAGTGCCGTGGCTGGCGCTGGGGGGCGGCCACCACTGGGCCTGGGGGGAACCGGCGGCCGAGGGCCTGACCACTGTGCCGTGCGCCGACCCACCCATGCCGCCGCCTCCCCATCCCCCCCTCCCGCAGCAGGTGGGCTGTCTTGCGTTGTTGCAGGCTGTCTTGCCGCTAGTGAATTGAAGTTTGGCAGGCTTGCTGTCCCATGCGCCCGCACGCCCGCACGCCCTGTGCCTCTGCAGGGCGGCGGCCCCTCCTGGCGCCCCGCAGGCGCTGTGGCCTCCAGCTACGGCTGGGCCCACAGCTGGCCGACGCTGATGCAGGAGATTGATCTTGTGGCGGAGCTGGAGCGCCGCGGCGTGACCAGGGCCGCAGCCTGCGCCTTCTTGGACAGGGGGCCCGGTCTGGCGCTTGAGGTGTGTGGGTGGCAGCAGCCACAGGGACTTGAGCCGGCCACCCCGCCGTCTGTTGTCACCGCCTATGTGTGCCTGTATGCCCCGCAGGTGTACACGGCAGCCAGGTTTGACTGCGGGGGGGAGTATGAAGTCGGGCTGGCGCTGGACGGCAGGAGCGACCCGGTGCCGGTGGACGTGCTGGCACGTGAGCCCTCCGTCCCCGCCCCCGCGAATGTTTGCACCACATTGAGTGCCCCGTGCCGCCTTCCGGGGGCGAGGCGTGCTTGGTTCACACCCAGGTGCCAGCTCCTGCCCCACCCTCCTGCCCGCAGAGGTGTACTGGATGGCGGGCTGCGCCGCCGTGTCCACCACCAGGCAGATGGCAGCAGAGCCGCAGCGTTGGAGGCGCCAGGTGCTGCGCCTGGAGGCGTACCAGGCGGGAGTGCGGCGGGCCGTGGTGCTGCTGCGAGCAAGAGGCCAGCTCTTCTGGAGCGGCCATTACGGCGCCAAGCTGAGCGCTCCGGCCCTGCGCTTCGTGGCGCCGCCGTGACAGCCTCCAGTGTTGAAGGCACCTGTTATAGGGGGAGTTGCACCCTGACAAGCATGTGCATGAAATTGCAAATTTGGGGGGACTAATCAGGTTTAATGGGGGAGAAAAGTCGTAATCGTCAGGAAGGCAGAGGCATTCAGGGGGATTCTTAAATCGAGGGGCAAAGGGCATGCAGGGAAGGGGGCATGCAAGGCTGAATTCCGGGGTTGCTGGTGCGGTACCGATAGGGTGGGCGACGCTTCAGGGGCTGGTGTTGCCGTTGGCAGAGGCCTGGGCCTGCGTCTCGGCCAGCCTGTCGATGCAGGGCTTGGGGTCGCACTGCTGCGGCAGCAGCTTCTGGAGGTCTTCCTCTGATGAGGTGCCGCCGGCCAGCAGCACGGAGCAGAGCTTGTCGCAGTCGGGCTGGGGCTCCTGTGCCTCCTGCTCCTCCTCCTGCTGTACCTCCTCCTCCTCCTTGACCTCCTCCTCCGACTGTGTCCCTGTCTCAGCCTCCCTCTCCGCCTCCACCTCCCGCTCCTCCTCCTGCTTGACCTGCTGAGAGGAGGTGGCGTCCATTGAGCTCGTGGCGCTGGACTTGGCCTGGCTGGACGACGTGCCGGCGGGCTGGGAGGGCTGCTGGGCCCCACGGCCGTTGCTGGCGCTGGCCTGCTGTGGGGCCGCCAGCTGGAGCGGCTTCAAGGGCTGCCCAGGGGGCGACACCACAGTCGCCTCGGACTCAGCATCAGCCTCCGCGCGCGCAGCAGAGCCGCCCTGCTGGCGGGGCGCCTCCTTGGATGGCTGCTGGAAGACCTCAGAGGCAGCCTGGGCATCCGCAGCCGCCTTGGCGGAGGAGCCGCCCTGCCCGTTGGACTGAGCGGATGCGGCAGCCTCCGCCTCCGCCTGTGCCGAGCTGCGCCCGGCCTTCACGCGGCTGGCGGCGTTTGCAGCGGCATACGCCGCGGCAGAGCCACCGGAGCTGGCTGCCTTTGCCGCCGCCGAGGCGGCAGCACTTGCCTCTGCAGACACAGGCGCGCCTTGCACGCCGGCTGCCGCAGCGGCACTGGCGGCCGCCCGGGCCGCGGCCTGAGCCTGGGCACTCGCCGAGGCAGCAGCGCGTGCGGAGGCCGCAGCCTGCAGCGGGAGCAGCGAGCCGGGATGGGTTTAGGTGTGTCGGCAGGCCGGGCCTTGCAAGGCGGACCCTGGAGCGGTCGCAGCATCAAGCGCCCTTACCTGCTGGGGTGTGACGGGCAGGCCCGCCTTGCCACAGATGATGATGACCCTCGGCTGGATGTTGCACTGCACCAGGCACAGTGGGAACGGTAGTGCCGATGCACAGCGGCCCCCCTGCCAAGCCAAGAGTTGGCCGTCGAGCCACCTGGGCAAACACACAGGTCTTGCCTACCTTGGCCAGGGCGGTGACCACCGGCACGCCACAGGTGTAGGAGACTAGGATGGGAGCGATGTAGACGCAGGAGATGGGGAAGAGGCAGGCAGGCAGCTTGATGTTGGCGGCGGCGACAGCCTGCAGGGGGTGGCGGCGGGGGCGGCAGGTCTCGGGCATGGCATGCCCACGCAGCACAGGCACGCCTCGAGGGGCGGCGCTGGGCGCAGCAGGCCCACCACAGCGATGGCTTCCAGGAACTTGCGGGCGTCCCTGGAGCCCAGCTCAGACAGCGCCTGCAGCAGGGCGGAGGGCAGCATGGCCACTTGGGCATCAGGTTTGAGGGACCAGGGTGTTGTGTTCCAGGGCGCCTGGCGCCAGCTGGTGCACTCTGCCCCAGACAACGTGCCAAACCTGCGCAAGGGCGATCGCAGGGCTGTCGCAGCCGCAGGTCTCCACCGCTTCCGCCAGCGCCAGCACGGTGGCGACAGCAAACTTGGACGCCTCGCAGCTTTGCTGGCAGGTGGCGGCATCGTACGCCAGCGCATCACTGCAGCAGTGGGCAGGAGGGGAGGGCTGGTGAGGGTAGAGGGGTTTGGCAGCAGCGCCAGCGGGCTCAGAGGCGGTGTGCGGTCAGCCCAGCCTGCAGTGTGGGCGGGCAGCTGCCGCTCACGTGAAGGCCACGGCCAGTGCAGCTCCTGTGTTGACGGGGTACAGGCACAGGGCATCCGCCAGGGCCTGCAGGGACGAGGGCAGGGGGTGGGGGTTGAGGGCACAGCTGGGCCGCCAGTAACAGGCCTTCAGAGTGCTCCCCTTGCGCCCCCCCCCCCCCCCCCCCCCCCCACACACACACACACACGACCCTCCTCACCAGAGTCCAAGCCTCCGCCAGCTTGCCGGTGTCCACAGAGGGGATGGTGAAGGCATGCGCAACCGCGGCGGCGGTGGCCACAGCATCGGCGTAGCCCCTTGAGAGAGCCTGGACGGCAGCCTGGGCGGCGGCCGAAGCGCCTTGCGCGGCAGAGGCGCGCGCAAAGGCGTCCGCTGCCGCGCGAGTCTGGCTGCCCAGGGATGACGCCGTGGCGGCAGCCTGGGCGGCAGCAGAGGCCGACTTGCCGGTGGCCTCCGCCGCAGCAGAGGCCAGCGCTGAAGCTGCAGACACACAGGTGGCACACCAGGGTTGCGTCGTTGTGAGATGGAAGGAACTGCGAGCGCATGGGCGGGCCTTCCTTCACCTGAGCCTCCTGCAGCACGAGCGCTGGCGTCGGCACTTGCAGAGGCGGAGCTGTCCGCCAGAAGCATCCTCACGGGATGGCCTGCACAAGCAGGCAGGCGTGTGCGTGTCATTCAAACCGCGGCAGCTGCCTGCAGCTGCAGGCTCCGGCAGGCCGTGTGGCGTGGTGCCAGGCGGGCGGCGGGATGCTCCCTCGGCGCGGCGCCTGCGTTCCCACACCCTGTGGCTGGCCTGTCTTGGGTCTGGAGGCTGCAGGCGCACCCTGGGAGGAGGCTGTGGCGCTGAGCAGCAGCAGCAGTCCGAGGGAGAGGGCGGCTGCGTGCCCCATGGTGCTTGGACGTGCTTGGGAGGGCTTGGAGTGTGATAGGAGGGCAGGGAGGTGGAGAAATGTGGAACACGTCTGGCGTTTTCTGGGCTGAGGAGATGACTTCTCTGAGCTTCTTCTACAACCAATCAATCTTCGGAGGTCCAATGAGGGGATTTCACTACAAACTGAATGCAACCTGGTGCGTCCCTCCAATGGCGGCAGCGCCTGGTTGCACGTTCCGGCAGCTACCAGCAGCTGCCACACCTGCTGGCACCAGCACCTGCGCCGCTGGTGCACCACCTGTTTCATGTTTAATGGATATCAACCCCTTCATAACACACATCACACATCACGGGGTGCCCTGGCTGCTGCTGGTCATCCGCCGCATCGTCCCGGACAGCTTGCGCGTGAGGGTGCCGCCGCCGCCCGTGCCGCCGGCACTGGCCGGGCTCCGGCTGGGGGAGCGGCCCAGCATACCAGGCGCTCCTGCCTCTGCCCTCTCAAACAGCTCGTTCACCAGGCTGGCCACATCGGCCGGGCTGTGGCGCTCGTACTTGGAGTGGTTGTCTGCGGGAGCCGGGCGGGCACGCATCGAGAGGTGGGAGCGGGGGCAGGTGTGGTGGAGAAAGCAGGCGTTCCAGGCGCTGCCGGCCAGCCAGCAAGCCAGCCAGCCACCTACCCGTGTATGGCGCCTGCCTGTACTTGGACCAGAAGGCCTCGTACAGCGGCAGCAGCCTGTCAGACAGCGCATCCTTGAGCGCAAAGCGCAGCGCGGCGTCGGGCACCGCCCAGCTCTGCACCCCGCCAGGGGCAAGAAGGGCAGCAAGCGCGGCCACGCCTGGCTTCAGCAGGCAGAGGGGAGGGATGGGGCGCTCGCCTGCCGCTGCGCAGCACATGGCGGGCCCCACCCATTGCCGCTCGCCTCCGGCCCCGCCCCGCCCACCTGCTGCCCCTGCGCCTCGGCCAGCATCTTGTTCACCGCGCTCCACTTGTCCTTGACCGCCTGCCGCGCCGCCTTGTCCCCCGCCAGCCCCCCGGGCACCCCCTGCCGCGCGTCCTGGCGCAGCAGCGACAGCAGGCCTCCCCAAGCCAGCTCCACGTACTGCTGCTGGCACTCCTCGATCTTGGGCTGCGCACAGGGAGGGGTGCGGGGTGGCAGTCGGGGAAACACCTGCGCATGCCGCGCCCAGGTGAGCCTCGCATTGCGGGGGCGTGCCGGGATGCCAGCTCACGGCTGCCTGCCAGCCCCTCAGCCCCGCCTGCCAGCCGCCAGCCCCACCTTGTGCTGCTCCGCCCAGCCCTCCCCCACCGCCTTGAGCTCCCGGCTGGTCTCGCAGGCGTGCACGACGTGCGCCAGGTTGTTCATTTGGAACAGGGCTGCCAGGGCGCGGCTCTTGAAGGTCAGCCTTGCCTTGGCCTCCAGCGCTGCACACGCACACTCACACACGCATGCATGGCCGTGCACATGGGTGTGTGTGCTGGGGCGGCAGGGGGGAACCGGCAGGGCGCTCCCGCCCACCCGCTGCTGCCTGCCACCAAGCCAGGCGCAGCACCGGCTGGCCCAGCCCACCTGCCAGGAGCGTGTCAAAGAGGTGCGCCGCCGCCGCGCCCATCCTCTCCAGCAGCCGCGCCTCCACCGCCAGGCCGGCGGCGCCTGCATGCGGCGCCGGGCCGGCCGCGTCCCCAAACAGCACCGGCAGCGCCGACTGGTAGGCCAGGATGCGGCGCAGCAGGGAGACGGCGCTGGCGCACAGCGGGTGCACGGTGCCGTCGGCGGGCACGCCGCGCGCAGCGTCGCGAGCCACGCTCTCCTGCAGCTCCGCAAAGCAGGCGCGCACCTCGGCGCCCAGCCGCGCCCGCAGCTGCGGGAGGGAGGGCGGGAGGGGGGGAGGGGTGAGGCAGGCGGCCGGCGCTGGCTGGGCAGTCGCTTCAGTGGGGAACAGCGCAGGGCAGGGCAGGGCAGGGCAGGGCAGCAGCTGCACCCCTGCACCGCCTACCTGGCCCAGCTGTCCCACCACCGGCGGCGGCTCGGCCCCCGCCGCCGCCGAGGCACGGTCGAGGCGCGAGGCGCCCGCCGCCAGCGCCGCCCGCAGCGGCGGCAGGCACCCCTCTGCCGCGTCGTGCATGTCCAGCACCCCAAACAGCTTCTCGGGCACGCGCCGCGCCGCCAGCACCACGTCGGCAGCTTCCAGCAGCGAGGCGGCGCCGCCGGCGGCCACCTGCATGCAAGGCAGGCAGGCAGGCGGGGTTCAGAGCAGGAGAAGGCTGGGGACGCAAGCAGCGGGCAGTCGCTCTGAGCGACGACCAGAGCCGCCAAGCCATGCATGCTGGCCGCCTCGGCGGGGCCGCACCTGCGACAGCACCGCCGCCTGCTCGGAGGGCGGGAAGACTGCGGCACACAGGCGCGCCTCCTCCTGCGCCAGGCGCACATACAGGCGCAGCGCCGCCACCCACCTGCGCCCAAATGCAGCAGTGGAGCCAGCATGGGGGCCAGCACGCGGCCAGGCCTGCTGCCGTCCCCACCCGCCAGCTGGAAGCCGCCCCGTGCGGGCAGCAGGCCAGGCCTCACCCCGGGATCCTCCCCTCCATCTGCTGCCAGCTCAGCCGCGACAGCTCCTCCCTGCTGCCGCCAAAGGGAGCCAGGAAGCCCTCCATGCCGCCCTGCAGCACGCCCCGCCGCGAGTCGGCATACGCCTTGATGGCGGCACGGCTGCTGCCGCGCAGCATCGCCCCCGCCAGCGCCTTGAGCTTGCCCAGCACCGGCTCCGGCAGCAGGCCCAGGGCGGCGCCCGGCGCAGGTGAGGGGTCGGGCGTCGCCGCCTGCGCCGCCTGCGCCGCTCTGCGGCCGCCGCCGCCCTCGGCGGCCGCGCCAGCCCGCAGGCGCGCCAGCAGCGCAGGCGGCACGCTCTGGTGCTTCTGCAGCAGCGCCGAGAACTCGCGGCTGCAGGCCGCCAGCGCGCCGTCGCGCAGGGCGACTGTGTGGGCCAGGGCGTCATCCGCCGCCGCCATGCTGCGGTGGGCCTGCAGGAAGGCGATGGCGGCCTCCAGGCGGTCCAGGGCAGCCAGGAAGCCCTCCAGGTGTGCCCGAGGCCCCGCCTGGATCACGCCTTGCATCTGCGAGCGGGCACCGTGGGAGGGAAAGCGGTGAGTGGCGGAAGGATGTGCGCACTGGGCGGCAGTTGCGGCACGCTGCGTGGTGCCGGCTGCCCACCTTGCGGCTTGCATCCAGGTGCTCCAGAACCTGCACCTCAGGAAGCACAGCAGCCCACAGGTCAAACGGCTTCTGGGGTTGAGAGGTGCTGTACCCTTGCGGCGTGCATGGCCCGTGCAGTGCAGGCACACAGCTGACAGCAGCGGGTGACAGCGACAACGCGGCGCACTCGCCTCCTCGCTGCGCTGCTTGGCGGCGAAGATGTTTTCCTTGGCACGCGCCAGTGCCAGCGTCTTGCTCGTCATGGGCGCCGCCTGGCGGCCCAGCTCCCCGAGCTGCCAGCTGGCCAGGTCCAGCAGCGAGGCCGCCTCCTTGGTGCTGGCGTCCAGCAGGGCCAGGTCTGCCCTCAGGGCCACAGCGGCCTCCGCCACGCTGGTCCCCATGGTGGCTGGAGTCTCGGTTGTTGCGTGGGTTGTGTGGCGGCGGACGGTGGCGGTGGCGGGAGGTGGGCCGTGAGGGCAGCGGAGATGTTGCGGGGCGTGGTTATGGCTCGAGGAAGGACTCTGATAGCTCCAGAAGAGTCTGCCAGCGAGTTCTGGGCATGTCAACACTTCGGGCGATCGGATCAGTGGTGGACCTGCGCCTTTGGTTGGAACGCCTGGTGCAGGTAATCACGGAGCGCTCGACAAGGAGAGCCCCCAGCAGCTTGCAGATACACTACAGCATAAGGCCACCCAGCACCGCCCACGCTGGCGTCACGCTGCCGGCAGCGGGCCTGCCGACATTGCTATGCAAGTACATGCCGACCTGAGCAGCAGCTATGGTTGCAAAGCTACGGCAGTGATTACACTGTTGTGCGCCTTCAGGGCATGACAGCAATGAGGGAGGAGAGCGAGGGAAAAGAGCTTACAGAGGCCTGGCGGCTCCTGGGAGCCACCGCGGCAGCGTCATTGGTGGCAGTGCAAGACATTTAACGCCGCTTCTGCCCAGGGCGAGTACACGTCCGCCAGCAAATAATGCGGGGCCGGCGGGTGGCACTAGGGTGCCATGTCACTTGGGGGCCGCCGCCTGCTGCGCCGGCTCCTCGTCAAGGTTGCGGCAGTAGGGGCCCGGGGGTTCGCCTGCATGCACGATGCACAGCAACCAGGGTCCTGAGTGCACGACACGAACGCCCACCCGCATGCCCATACATGTGCATACGCTGCCAGCTGGACAGCCTCCAAGCAGCCAGGTGCAGGCCGGCCTCACCCATCAGCGTCATCTGCTCCGGCGCTGGCTTGCTGGGCACCCACTTGTCGCCCACCACCGCGCCCGCGGGCTCAGCCTTGCTGCGGTGCTGGGAGCCAACCTGCAGCACGGCATGGGCACACGCGGCGCCGCCTCAGTGCTGGCTCCACGGCATCCCCGCTTGTTGTGCACCGCCACAAACGGCCTGTCCACGGCCAGACGCACACAGCCCGCACCGCTCCTCCCCTTGCCGGCGCATTCGCCACCCGCCCCGCCTCTCCCGCCTGGCCCCCACCTTTGGCTTGCCCCCCTTCTTCAGCGTGTCGATGATGGCCAGCGTGTCAGCGGGGGTCAGGTCCTCGTAGTAGTTGTACGAGAAGCCCTCCACGCCCTTGGTGTAGTCGGCCACCGCAATCATGGGCGCGTTGACGCACGCGCCCATGCACTCCATCTCGCCCAGCGTGAACATGCCGTCCTGCGTGGCGGGCAGGGGAGCAGGGGCAGGGGCGGGTGGGTGGGGGTGGGGGGCTCAGCACACATGTGCGGCTGCAGCTGAGCTCTGGCTGAGCTCTGGGAGTGCCTCTCCAGCCATGAACCCGAGCGTGGGCCGCCGTCCATCCCCGCAGCCTCACCGGCGTGGTCTGGCCGTAGTCGATGCCCAGGTGCTCCTTGAGCGCCTTGTAGATGCCCTTGGCGCCCTGCAGCATGCAGGGCGTGGTGCCGCACACCATGACGTGGTACTTGCCCATCTTGCTGCGGTTGAACATCGTGTAGAAGGTGGCCACCTGCGGCGGCGGCGGCGGCAGGCGGGATTCAGAGGTGTGGGGGCGGGGGTGTGGCATCTCTCGGTGCACCTCTCAGTGAACACAGTGCGGATGAGGGCAACAACAACACACCGCAAAACCAAGGTGTTGTCTGCATCCCCGCTGGCAGTACGGCTCAAGTGGCGGCTCCCTGGCCGTTGTCCATATCGGCGGCGCATGCCCGCACACCACCACCGCGCCACCCCAGGTGCCGGCCCGTGCCCACCTCGTACACCCGGATCTCGGGCATGTCCAGCACCTTGGCCACGCGGTTCATGGCCGCCAGGCTCAGCCACCCGTCGTTCTGCTGCTGCGCCAGGTCCAGCAGCGGGATGACGGCAGAGGCCTTGTAGTTGGTCGGGTAGCGAGAGATGATCTCGGCGGCCTGCGGCGAGGAGGGCTGGCTGGCAGGGTTGGGGGGTGGCATACATGGTGCCCCATGCAGCAGCACCGAAGCATGCGCTGGGAACAAGCACCCCCACTGTTGCAGTCGTGCAGAACAAGCGAAACTCAGGCGAGGCGTAGAGGCAAGCGCCACCCCACCGACCTTCTCGTAGTTGGCGTCTGTGAAGTCAAACTCGGTGTCCCAGTTGTTGTGTGCCTCGTGGCGGTGCTGCGGCCCATCGGGTGGGAAGGTGGCAGTGCGATTGGTGCCCAGCCAGGCTGCGCATGGCACTCATGCAGTTCCTGCAACGGCCCTCCCATCCATTTGGTGCACAGCAAGACCAGCGGGCACCGACAGGCCCCCGCCATGCCCTCTACTCACCGTGTTGAAGATGTCGTGGCTGTTGGTAGCAAACCACCGTCGGCTGCCTGCGCATGCCACCGCCTGCGTAGCCTGCAGCAGCAGTGGTTTGCAGGAAAAGCAGCGGCGGCGGTGGTGGCAGGAAGAGCGGGCAGGGTTGGCGGCGTGAGGGCAGGCTGCGGGGCGGCGGCCTCCCCACAGCCCAGGTCAGGCACCCACCTGCACTGCTGCTGGCGTTGTGGCAGCTTGCTGGCCGAGCAGCGCAGAGTAGCGCAGCAGCAACCCAGCCGCGCTCCGCATATCGAGCTACCAGGGCAGCACTGATCGACAGATGGCAAGGCGGCGGGGCTGGGTGAGGTCTGTGAAGGGTTGGCCTCCCAGCACTGAAGTGGAGAATTGCCGAGCCGCTCTGCCAGCCCGGGTTTGCCTGCCGCTCTGTGAGGCGTCTGATTACTCTGTCGGCCTGAAAACTGTGGCGATGGGAGGTCGGCATGAGCCCTCCACCCGCATGGCCGCCCAAGAAAGCTCCCGCTGCGACAAAGAACTGAAAGAGTTCTCCCTTCCCGTGTTCCTGCAGGTTGACCTCAGACCTTGCCGCTGGCTCCACGCGCTCAGGGCGGCTCCCCTCCCCTGCGCCCCAGCAGCACGAGCGGCCCCTTGCAGCCCACCGTTCGGGCAGTAGCGGTGTGTCGCGGTAGCGCCAGCGCCCAGCCAGCACCGGCGCGGCTCCAAACTGCGACTTGGCCCTCGAATCCGCTTCCTCCAGCTCGAACTCGCCCGGCGGCTTCCCAGCGCCCTCCCAGCATCCCCCGACCCGACAGCAGCAGCTGCTGAACAGCGGCTGCCGCGCCGCAGGGCAGCGGTATCATGTCTGTGGCGACGCAGCACTCGCCCTTCGCCGTCGGCAGCAAGCGCCTGTACGAGAGTGAGGAGAACGAGGACCACCTGCAGCGTCTGGACAGCAGCGCAGCCTCCCACAAGCGTTACCGACAGCGCGGCAGCCCCTCTGCCCGCTGCGGCGGCGACTCGGCTGCGCAGCACGCCTACACCGTCGGCCACACCACCGTCACAGCACTGCGCGGCCTCTTCCCAGAGATGAGCGACAAGGTGCGGCATGCTGCCAAAGCGGTGCGGCTGAGACTGGGGCTGTGCCCTGCAGCGGCTCTTCTGTCGGAACCTGCGTGCCTCGCTCCCCAGCCCTCCCTCTCAACCACCCCCAAACGCCTCTGCAGGTCATCGCCGACGTCCTGGCCGAGTACGGCGACAACATAGATGCCGCCATCAAGCACCTCACCGACCTCCGCCTCTCTGCTGCCTCCTCCTCAGCGGCCATTTCAGAACAGGCAGCGGCCATGGCAGCTGCAGCAGCAGAGCAACACCAGCAGCAGCAGCAGCAGCAGTCGGCAGCAGAGGCGCCGAGCAGCAATGGTGGCGGCACCGCCACCACCGCAGTGCCCAAGTCGGCAGAGGAGTGGGTGGATTTTGTGGTGCACGAGATGGCAGCAGCCAAGGACATGGCGGATGCGCGGGCGCGTGCCTCGAAGGTGCTGCAGGCCTTTGAGCAGGCCGCTGTGCAGCACTCAAAACACCAGGTGCGATGGCTGCTTGGATGTGAGGTTGTCAGTGCGTGCCACTGAGCACTTCCTGCGCTGCCTGCCTGCACAACCATTGCGTCTTGCGACCTCACACGGCCCCAACTGCCCCCCCGGTCCCGCCGCCAGCCACCCCTGCAGGGCTCTGCACCCGATCCTGAGCGGTTACGTGGGCAGCTGTGCGAGGCGCAGCGCGAAAACCAGCTGCTGAAGCGCGCGGTGGCCATCCAGAACGCGCGGCTGCAGGAGCTGAGGTGAGGGCCGCGCTGCGCATCGTGGCAGGCTGGAGCCCGCCCGCGCGTACCCACCTGCATGCATGGCGCAGCTGCTTGCTTTGCTGCGCCTGTCGTCTGCCATTCCGCAACAGCCCCGGCCCCTCTGACCTCCTGTTGCTGCCGCCCTCCTGCCCCCATCCCCCTCGTGATGTGTTACAGCGGCAAGGAGGCCGAGGTGGCGCAGCTTCGGCAGATGCTGGAGGGGTTCCAGCAGAAGGTGCACGCCTTGGAGGTGCAGAACTACAGCCTGGCGCTGCACCTGAAGCAGGCCGCAGATGGCAAGGATGCGATGCAGGCGGCGGGCTTCAAGAACAACCCCGACGTCTTCTGACAATGACATCGCCCCTTCGGGGCCGACTCGAGTGCGCAGAATTTGTTAGCTAGCTGCGTGCCCCACTCACCTCCTCAATCCCCTATAGGCATGCTCTTGCACTGCATGCGAGTTCCTTGCCCGTGCCTGTGTACCCTGAACCCCATATTTTTTTGCGCCACATCGGCACCTGTACACTGTACTCTCGCTGTGTAATTTTGAGAGCAATGGCATGAGAGCGAAGGAAGGGGTATGAAAGGCTTTGGTCCCCCATGCTGTGGCATGCTGGGGCCGACAGCATTTATAACATGCACCACACACTTCTGGCTATCTGAGCACCGGTTCCGAACGCTCATCAGGCTCCCCCAACATGATTTCACTGACTTGCACGCTGCAGCAGGGCTGTGGGGTTGCGGTGCGGACCCCAGCGCTGCGCCCCCTGAGCGCGTGCGGCAGCAGAGGGCTGAAACCTCCCGGGCGTGGCAAGGCAGCGAGCGGCAGAGCCTGCGCCGCGCCGCAAGGAGGCCAGCAAGGGCGAGTGGGCTGTGCCGCAGCGGCGGTGGCTGCTTTGCCTTGCTGCGCCTCAACCATTTGAGTGGGTGGCGGGTGGGGCAGGAAATGAGGGGCGAGCTATGACGCTGTGGTTTGTGCTGCCCTGCAGGGAACATAAACCGTCTGCCCCAGAGCCGGTGGATGGCCAGTGGGCCCAGGAGCTGCTGAAGGAAATTGTGGACAGCCCTGAGCTTGGCAAGCGTGGCGAGGCCTGGTTTGCTGCACAACTGGTGGCGTTCCTGCTGGTCGCTTTCCCACCGGATGGGCTGCGTGCGCTGCTAGATGCGGCAGGCTGGCTGACCATTGCAGGCGGTTTGGGACTTGCGTAAGTCTCGCTGCAGTTAAGCTGACCATGCCTTGGCTTTAATAGCTGCCCATGCCTGCTTGAATAGCTGCACCCCTGCGTAATGCTTGGAGTCAATGGTGACGGCTTGTATCCTGCAGAGTCGCTGCGCAGCAGGGCCTCGGAAAAAAATTGACGCCACTGCCCAAGCCCAGAGACCAAAGTTCGCTTGTGACAGACGGCATCTATGGACTCGTTTGCCACCCCATGTGCGCCACAGGGTGGGGCAGCTAGATGCATGCAGAAATAAGAGCAGACTGTTGAGCGTTGAATGCAAAATTAAGCTTTGGTCTATCTCTCCATGCTGTGTTGCCCCACCTTGCCCTTAGGTATGGGGGAATAGGGCTCGCCTTCGTGGGGCTCTCGCTGGCGCTGGGCGACGATCTGCGCCTGGTGTTTGCCATCCTGACGCTTGTCCTCCTCGATCGCAAGGCAGGCTGGGGTGTGGCTGGGAAGGAGTGACGATTGAAGCGACATGAACACAACCCAGGGGCGGTTCTGACCCTTCAGCTAACTGTGTGGTGTGCTGATGTTTTGTTTGCAGGCCTCATACGAGGAAGAGCTGCTGGTGGAGAAGTGGGGGGCGCAGTATGAGGAGTACAAGCGCAGCACGAAGAAGCTGATCCCCTACATCTGGTGATGGGATTTCATTTTTTGGCATCGTCATCTCCGCTCGCTTCTCAATTTGTATACGAGTGCTGAACTTGAGTTGATATGTTGCTGTTGCCAACTTGAACATGTGAGGCATGCAGCATTCAAGAAGGCAACCACGCACTCTCAGACTCGTTCTTCGCCCGAGTGTGGCTGCTCTTCGGCCGTCTCACCGTTGCCGAGCAGCGAAAACCTGCTGGGCGACACTGTCAGGCCGCCCTTGCCGCCTGCCCCCCGCACTGCCGCTGTCAACATGCCGGCATGCTGGCCCATGCTGCCAGCATAGATCTGGCGGATGTGCAGGTATGCGAGCAAGAGGCCCAAGCAGAAGCCTGCCGCTACATCCTCAACATGATGCCTGCAAGCAAAGAGCACCATCAATGAGCACCGGGTTGGCACCACAAGGCCAGATGAAGCACACCTCAAAATGTTGGCCCGACATGTGCGGCCTTCCACGGTAGCTGCAGCAGCTCACCAGTAATCTTGCACTCGGCTCATTCCAATCCACACAGCACCTGCAGGGACGTCACAATAGAACTGGGCAGCGGCTTGAGGAGCAATCCTCCTGTAGCACCACCAACAAACAACTGCGTTGCATGCACTGGACGGCACCATTTTGCATGCAGAGCAACATGTTGGGCTGCTCACCTAGCAGCGGGACGAAAGCGACGACAAGACGTGTTGGCTGCGCCTGGCCGTCAAAGCAATTCAGCTTGCCCAGCAGCCAGAGCGTGAGGTAGCCCAAGCCAGAGGTGCTCCAGGAGGTGTGGCCTGCACGCAAGCACAGCATGCGCACCCGAATCAACACAGACAACGGGGGCAACTCGGCCCGGCTCTTCGTCTCCTTCTCTTCTATCTCCCAAGGATCAGACCTGATGGAAAGCTCTTCAACCCCTCGGCGACGTTGATGGCATTGTCTGCGCACTTGGGCAGCCCATCAGGCGTGTACACCGGTTTGGTGCCGTTGGGCCAGCAGCGGTGCACAAAGTGGGGGCGGGGGCGGCCAACCTGGCGGGTGCACAGCATTGAGGCGTCAGTGGCTGCAGAGCTCTGCAGGTGTTGCCGCAATGCATGCCATCAGTCGGTTGCCTGCCAACCAGTAACATTACATACATTAATTTTGATCCAATTGGTCAGTAGCCCAGTGGTTGCCACACAGGAGACTGCCATCAGGCTGGCATGGTGCGCCTCCACGCGGCTGATGCGGCCCGCCAGCCGAAACCCCATGATGCACAGGAGAGGGCTGAAGAGGGCAACGCAGGGCACCGCCCAGGCGGGGACCTGCATGCCCGTCTTCAACGGGTACGAGTACTTCCAAGTCTCCAGATCAGAGGTGGGCCCTGCGTAGACTGCCTGAATCAGAAGGCCACGCAATGACAAGGAGCAAGCCTAACTCATTAATGATCAGTGCTGCACTGTGCGAATGTGCCGCGAGACGCATCAGGAACTGGCTTGCCCTGCACAACTAACTCACATGTCTGAAAGGGTCCCAGCGTTCCGAGGCGGCCAGCAGCAGAAGGCATGCTACCACTGCAACGTACTGACCCGCATGCAGGCGGGCCAGCTGCGCCCACGACGGCTGTGGTGCGGCGGGCTTGAAGTAACTGTCCAGCGCCTGCTTGCCCGCCAGCGAGGGGGCTGCAGTGGGTTGCGCCAGGCGGCGGCGGCGGCGGTCAGCAACAACACAATCCAGCCACCATTTTGCGCACAGTTGTCTGCCATCTGTGTGTACCTTTGCGCACTCGCTGCTCAGCAGGACCTCTTTGGCCAAACATGGGGCGGGGGCTCGCCTGTGCGTCTTCCTGCGCTGACAACACAGTAATCAGCTGCCCCTGAGCAGCAGCGTGCGCAGGATTTCAATGTTACACAAGGCGGCACCTACAAATGAGATGCATGTTGTTTTCCAGTTTCCAGTCCATGTCCAGTCCAGCAGGGCGTCAGCCCCCTGAGGCCCCACTTGAACTGCATCTCATAGAACCGCCACTCCCTCAACCGCTCACACACCCTTGCTTGAGCCCAGGCCTGCCACTCCTTCTGCGACCCATTCTGTTGCACCGGCGCTGAACCCACGCGCTTTCAACTTGGAGCTTGGAGACCCTCGGCCCATGAGGGCATACAGCTGCTGCGTGCGCGCAGTGCCGCTGCCGCGGCCGTGCGTGCTGCAGCGGTGCCAGAAAGCCACTGGAAGGCACCCGGCCCTGCCAGCCCGCCCCCGCGCTCGCCTGGCCGTTGTCGTGGCTGCTAGTGGACAGACCAACCTCCTGAGTGGCGCAGAGGTGAGGAGCGGCCGATGCAAACCCCCAGAATATCTGGCTCCGACCTGCCCCTCGCCGTGCCAGAGCCCGCTCCGCCCACCACGCAGGCCCCACATAGCCCACAACCGTTCACGTCGTGCCCGCATGTGCTGCCCTGCAGGCCAGGCTGACCCGCTTCATCGCGGAGCTGTCGGGCGAGGCCGCCGGCACCGCAACCCGCGTGCAGCAGTGCCTGCTGGGCCTGCTGCTGGTGCTGCAGCGGCTGGTCCGCTGGGTGCAGCTGGCAGCCGTGGCGCTCCAGCTGCAGGGCCAGCGGCAGCAGCTGGTGTTTGCGGGCGCTGCCGCCGCTCCCGTCGGCAGCGACGGCGGCGCCTCGCTGGGAGCAGCCCCCGTTGCCGCTGCCGCACCGGCACCAGCCCCGGCTGTGCAACAGCAGCCGGCTGCTGCGGTCATGGACTTCCTCAGCGCTGCCACCATGGGGGCGGTGGAGCAGTTGCGGCACACCCTGACCGATGCCACCCAGGGCATCGAGTCGAAAATGAGCGCCCTGGAGCGCACAGCCAGCATCGTGCAAGGCACGCTGTTCCAGGCTGCCCAAGCGCACTCCGAGGCGGTCCGCTCCAACCCCGAGGGTAAGAGTTGAAATTGTCCTGCTGGGGTGCATGCAGCCGCTGGGAGCTGCACCACTCGTGCCCCAGGATGTTGATATTTGAATGCGTCTCGTCTCCCTCCCACAGCTGCATGCATGCTGATTTGCCGCTGCCCCCCGCACGTCTGCAGGCGGCATGTGGAAGCAGCCGTGCGTGGCGTCGGTGATCAGCGAGGAGGAGCGTCTGCGGCAGGCCGTGTTTGCCCAGGTGTATGCCGAGCTGCTGCAGAAGGACAACAAGGACATCAGCTTCAAGCCCTGAAGCGCGGGGCCGTGCCCCCTAGTGCCGCGCGAGGCAGCAGCCCGCCTCAAATCCTAGCGCCGTGTCCGCCTACCTTTTGCGGCGGCCGCCGTCCTCCTCGAGTCGATGTTGCTCCGGGCGCACCATGCAGCTGCTGGAGTCCCCAGCCAGCGTGTTGATTACCCGCAGCAGCTTGTCAGGTTCATTTGTGCTGCTCCAGTGCAGCAGTCAATAGGCAGCTTGTAGCCAGTTCCTGCTGCGGTCCTGCGCGCCCCCAGTGGGCGCCCCCGCTTTACCCCCACCCCAGCCAGTCCTGCCCGCTTGGGCATGCGCAGCTGCACAGCATCGTCATGCCGGCCTTGCACTTGTATGTCTTTGTTTGCTTGAATTCGACCGAATCCTTCTTCCCTGGAATCCCTGCCTGCTTTCATCCCTCAGCTTCCTGAGCCGTCCCGTTTCGTGCATTAACGCATCTCTTCCCCGCATGCCCCTCCTCAGTTTCTGTTGTGCCCCATGCCATACATCTAGTAGCTGGCACGTGCTTTCTCGTCCCCTCAAGCTGCGGCTTGGCGTGCCCACCCCGACGCCTCCGCCCAAATGAATGCCATCATACACGCCCTGGGATCCCAATCAGCCAGATCCAGGCCCCTAGACCTAACTGCAACCAGTGCATGTCCTCCTGCGTTTCGTGTAGTCATTTCACTGCTTAGCGCCCCATCCCGAACCCTTCAATTCTTGCTCCGTCTCTTGCTCGTTACCCGTAATTGATTCTTCTAGCATGGCTGTGCATGCGTGCCGCCCGAGCGCATTCGCTTGGCTGGGCTGGCTGTGCATTGTAACACAAGACTGTCGTGGGGGATGGTGCAGGGCCGCGTCTCATGATGGCACAAAGCAGCCGTGGAAGCCGTTGGGCAGCGAGTAGGGCAGCACCGCGCGCGCCACCTCCCGCCACGTCCTGGCGTCCAGCACCAGCAGCGCGCTGCAGCAGGAGGGGGGCGCGAGTCGCTGTGCAGGATGGCAGCCACGACACACCAGCGGTCTTGACATCTCCCTCGGTGCCACCTGCCCCCCTCGCCCACCTGCGCCCATCTGGCTGCATGATGGTTGAGAGCAGGCACCCATCATCCTCCGCCTTGCCGCCCGGCCGCGGCACAAAGATGGGCTCCCAGGCTGCGCCGCCGGGCTCGTGCCAGACTCTGCACAGGCTGGCAGGCAGGGCCGGCCAAGTGAGGCATCTGCCACCCCGGCCACATCGTTTTTTTGGAACCACCCCTGGCCAGACAGGCAGTGCATTTGAGCTGCGGCACGAGGCAGCCACTCACTTGACCTCCCCGGTCCAGGTGTCCAGCTTGCAGATGGCGTTCCAGCAGTTAGAGGGGCGCACACAGCAGGTTCCATACGCATACCTGTGGGGATAACGAGGCGAGGTGGGTGCGAGGGCAGCACAGGCACAGTGGGCTTGCCTGCTGGCAACCTGTATAACTAGCAGCTTGTCAGCCCAGCCTACCTGTACGGCTTGCCAGCGTTGTTGGGATTGATAGAGGGCAGCTCAAACGCGTTGCCGTGCAGCGTGTCGGGAACCAGCTGCTGCAGCAGAGGCTGCTGGTCCAGGAAGGAGCCTGCACAGGCCCGCGCCAGCAGCAGTTGGGTGCATCATTTGAATGTCACGGGACCAGGCAGACTGGCTGGGCCCAAATGCAGCGCTGGAGCAGAAGCGCTGGAGCAGCCGTGCTCACCATCCTCCCGAGACAGGTCGATTGTGAGCCTGCGCAGCACCGAGTCCTCAATCTGCTTGCCGCCCACTGGGCCCGCCCGCACTGCATGTGGGTGCAGGCAGGCTGGGCAGAGTGACAGCGAATGGGCCGGGGGGCTTGCTGCGCAGCGACCCATCAGCAAGCAAATCACAGCCTCGCTGGCTGGCCGCCACCAGCTGCTCCGCCACCAGCTGCTTGCCAGCAGCCTCCTCCGCGGCGCCGCCCCACCTGTGCCCAGCTCCCAGTGGCTCAGCAGCGCCGGGCTGTCTGTGACTGCGCAGTCCAGGTGCAGCAGGCGCCCGTGGTCCGACTCAAAGGCGTTGACCCAGTGGGTGGCCAGGAAGGCGGGGGCGCGGTAGGTTTTGGTCTGGCGGGGGTGCGGGGAAGGGGCCCCGCGAGGGGGTGAGGCACGGCTGTGCCCATGAGGCCCCTCCCTTGCAGGGCTGAGCTGCAGGACCAGCCAGCTCAGCACCAGCAGCACGCCCCAATATGCCTCACCTTTCCACCCAGCAGTGGCACGACGTGCAGCAGGGTGCCGCACTCTGGTTTCCAGTCAAACACCATGAAGCCTTGCTCAGTGGCCTGGGGGCAGGGGCGGATGGGGTGGCAGTCGCTGGGGAGCATAGCAGCAGCGGCAGCAGGCAGCGGAGCGGAGAGGTGTGACACGGAGATGCATGCAACCCGAATCTCCGGCTGCTGCACCTCTGCTGCCACTGCCACCTGGTTGCGGCCACCGCACGCACGCACACACCATGGTTCTCCCTCGCACCTGCCCCATCACCATGGCCCGGGGGTTGTAGTAGACAGGGTTCTGCACCACCACCGCATAGTGGTCGCTGACGGGCACCTGCACGCATGCGGCGAGGGCCATGGCCCATCTTGGTATGGCTGTGCGGCAGTTAGGTCCCAGCAAAGGCCAGCCAGCACAGGGTGCAGCACACTAGGCAGGGCAGGGCAGATCCCCCGCCTCTCCACTTCTGTCCTCGCCTCGTGGATCCAGGTGGGCGTGGTGGGGTGCGCGTACGGCACCGAGGCAATCTTCTGGCGGCGATCCGACTGCCAGGGGCTCTGCCGGTACACCGTGATTTCGGGCAGCCGCTGCAGCAGCCGGGCGTGGGCAGGCAGGCTGTGGGTGGGAGGGCAGGACCACCGGCCGGCTTGCACAAAGCCCAGCAACTCGTGCCCACGCAACCCAGGGCTGCTCAGCACCTCGCGCCCCCAGCCCCGCAGCCCACCAGTCTGCTGGGCGTGGCTGAGGTGTCCAGGAAGGGCCCAAAGTCGGCGGCCATGCCGATGATGTCGCCGCTGGGCATGCGGTGCGGGTGCGCCGTCTTCACCATGCCGTGGATGGAGTCGCGGTACTCCACACGCCCCAGCGTCTCCAGCGTCTCTGCACCACAGGCCACCAGGCGTGTTGTGAGCGGCGCGCCCAGCGTGGCAGGCATGGAGAAGCAGCAGGTAACCCGGCCATGTGCCGCAACAGCGGCAGCCTGCCTGGGTGCACGCGGTAGGTGCCGGATACCGTCTCAGTGTGGGCGATCAGCTCGTTCCCCTGCAGGAATTCAGGTGATCAGCAGGGTGAGCCTTTTGAATCCCCTGCACTTGCAGGCTGTGGGGCCGGCTGGCGAGCACGCGTGCTGCAGGTGATGAAAGCCCCCACCATGCTCGCCTGTGGGAAGATGGAGATGGTTGCGTTGTCGCCCAGGTGCCTGCCGTACTGCAACGTTCCCAGCGCTGCATCACAGCCCAAGGAGTGGCAACGGCATGACAAGGAAGGCATACAGCTTAGGAGCCCTGCTGAATGGGGCGGCTGTTGCAAGGCCAGTACTCCTGCGGCAGCTCCACACACGACTACCGGTGGGCTCACCAAAGCCAGAGGCGTAGGCCAGCCCTTTGAGCGTGCTCTTCACAGCACTGGGCGGGTGTGCCATCTTCCACCGAATGCTGCCTGCAGCCAGTGCAGGATCCCAGGCAAGGTGAGCATGGGGCTGTGTAGTCTGATAAGCAGCCACACACGGCCTACCCGCCGCCCACCTTGCTCCTTGGCTGCTCGGTAGTAGACCGACTCCAGGAAGCGGTGGGACTGCACCACCTCGTTGCTGCCGCCGTCTATCCTGCAGCCAGGACCAGCCAGGACGGAAGCACCAGCTCGATGATCTGCGGCGGGTCCCCGACCCCACCAAAACATGAACATGCTGCTGGGCATCCAGCTGCGCCCCCTCGACTCCCCCATGCACCTGAAGCGAACCAGCAAGGCGCAGCCGTCAAAGACGGCATGCGCCCCCTCGAACATGCCCGGGCCATTGCGGTAGAAGCTGCCGCGCAGCCAGGTCGGCAGCTTGCCCTCTAACCGAGCATGCAGGCACAGCTGGGGAGGTCCGTCATCTAGACACCCTCAATGCCTCGCAGAGGATGCACCCAGGCGCAGCACAAGCAGAGCCGCTGAATCGCACTCACGCGGTCCACAGGAACATCAGAGTACAGCCCCCGCCGCGCAGCAGCAGAGGGCCAGCTGGCCAGCGGTGTGCCGGGTGCGTGGAGTGGACGCTCAGGCTCCTGCTTTGTGCTGCTGCGGAAGGGCACAGCATTGCGCTGCTGCCCAGAGGCGCTACCAGCACCGGCGCCATGCCCAGGCTGGACGTCGCCATCTGCCGCTGGTGCCTCGGTGCTGCCCCACGCTGCTCTGCGCTCCGATAGCCTTGTGCTGCAGCTGCGGCGCGGCAGGCTCTGTGGCTGGGGCCCATTCTGGCGCAAAGTGGAGGTTGCCCGTGGTGGCGCTGGTGGGCACAGTGTGCAGTGACAGGACACACCCCTCTGCATGGTGTCGCCCTCGTGGAGCGCGGTATAAGAGCGGTGCTGAAGAGCGGGCAAAGCTGGAGTCTTCTGGCAGCGCCACATCGAAGGTTCTTGTTGCGCCCTTGTCACCCGGCTGACAAGGCGGTCGGCGGTGCCCGGGCGCTTTCACTGTGGCCTGCACGACCCCAACGGCGCGCTCCCCTGTGAGCGCAGCATGCACATCGAAGGCCTCAATGACGCACGAGAACGCAGAAGCGAAACACGGCGAGGACAACAACAGTCCGCCCGGTTTTGGAGCGGAGGCCGGCCCTGCACCGACGGCCAGCCCAACCCTGGTGGGCTGTGGAATTGGAGCTGGTGGAAGGCGCTCACCTTGTGGGCAACAACTGGGGGGGAGTTGGAGAGGCAGGGCTTGTCGGGAAAGCTCCAGCAGCAGCTCCGAGGGCTGGTGGCACGCTCTGCCGCTCAATTGGTCCTGCACCGGCACTGGATCGCGTTGGTCGCCCAGCAGCCCCGAGACGGCACGATGATCGGGTTCTAGCCCACCCAACAACGAGCCTCAGCGTGAGGTCAAGCCTGGGCACACTTCAGCAAGTGATGCAGATGAGATGGGAGGCGAGCGAGGCCATAATAGATCAGGCGGCCCCATGTGGCGACAGCTCAAGGTGGCGGTGGCGGGTGGCTCGGTGCGAGACCAAGCGGATGTAAAAGAACTGCATTGCCAACATTAGTGCCAATTCATGTTGCCAGGAACGTTCCGTGGAATCCAATGGTCAACTGATAGGGGACAGTGCAGCGTGCCACCTCTGCGAGGCTTCTGCCGTCCAGCACCAGCATGGCAGATGTGCCGTCCGCTTGCACCAGCACGCACAGCACTACGCCGTCGTCTTCTGCCGTGGCATTGGGGGCCGGCACAAAGGCCGGCTCCCCCACAAGCGTGCCCGACTCATGCCACACCTGCAAGCATGGACCACCTTGGGTGAACGGGGCTGCAGCAGGCTCACACTTGTCCAGGAAGTGGTGGGGCGAAGGACACGAGCATCGCGTGCAAGCTGCGCTGCCAGGCCGTACCTCCACCGTCCCGTTCTCAAGGTCAAACTTGGCCACGCTGTTGTGCGCGTTGGTGGGGCGGGTGGAGCAGGCGCCCCACACATACCTGCGAGGTCCAGCAGGACAACATCGGTGGTTTCATGGCCGGTTGGGCGCCAAGTGTTTGGCCTGGCCAGCGTGGGCCCATACCAATAGCAAGCAGGCTGCAGAGGCAACCAAGCGCGGGAAGGCGGCTTGCCTGTACGGCTTGCCGCGATACAGCGGGCTGGTCTTTGGGAAATCAAATGGCGGGCTGCGCTGCGCCTCGTCCGCCACCAGCGGCTGCCACGCAGGCAGCTCCGAGCCTGCGGCAGCACAGAAGTGCAGTAAGGTCTTGGCAGCAAGCCCTGGGCCTAAAGGAAGGTCGGCTACACACAATGGCACCCTTCCGCTCACACCCCCAGTGCGCTCACCATCCGGCGATTGCAGGTCGATTGTGAAGCGGCGCAGGAACGCCTGCCCCGCCTGCCGCCCCGGCTGGTAGTCTGCCCGCAGCACCCTGCAGAGGGCGGAGAGAGCAGGGGGGGCGCCAGCCGGAATCACACATACTCATGAAATGGACGCAGCCGGGCGCCTTGCGCGTGATGGCTGCTCATCCCTGGTTCCAGGCTCCCACTCGCCACTGCCAACCAAAGCCTCACCCCAGGTAGAGATCATTCACGATCTGCGGATCTTCGTACAGGCACGCATCCAGGTGCAGATACCTGCAGGGCACCGGGGCATGCAGGGCCCGCCGCCGCACCTCATCGTGGCACACCCAGATGGAAGGGGCTGCACAACACAAGCGCCGTCCGTCGCTGCCTTTCGGTCGCCTGCGCGGCATACCCTGGGCCGCACCTGCCATCCTCCGACTCAAATGCATTGGCCCAGTGGAAGACGAAGCATGGCGGAGCGCGGTAGCTTTTGCGGGAGCCGTCCCGCAGGTCCACCACGTGCAGCGTGGTACCGTCAGCGGGGGCCCAGTCCATGAAGATGTAGTCTGTGGGTGGCGGCGGCAGGCAGGACAGACACTGACTGACTGTGGCTAGGTTGGCTCAGGTACGAGGTTGGCTCAGGTTGGCTCAGGTAGGTGTGCGGGGAGCGGCGAGGCCAGCAGCTTTGCAGTGCTGCTGCCTGGCTTTCGCCGCCTGTCCTGGCATGCCGGCACGGCTGGCCTCCCCGGCGGGGCCCCCGTTCACAGGTTTGCGGAGGTTAAAGTAAAGCGGCTTTCCCGGGATGACGGCATATTGCTCAAGGCGCAAGCCCAAGGTTTGGCGGGGCAGGTCGTGTGGGGTCGGTGGGTGGCGCCCAGGGCGGGGTGGGTCAGCAGGAAGCGGGGCAATTCGCGGGCGGGCTTGCCTGCGGGGCAGGGAAGTCGTGGACCCAGGCGGGCGCCAGCGGGCGGCGGTGGGGCACCGTGGCGATGAGCTGGCGCCGCTCAAACGCGCCGGCTGGGTGCCTGTAGACACTGAAGCCCATCCCGACCTGCGTGGAGCCGGGCATGCTCGTGGTTTGGTGAAGGGTGCGCCGTGGTTTGCAAGCCAGGGTGCAAATTTAAGTCTGCACACCTCCTCGCCAGCATCAACACCCTGAGCCTCTGCTGCCTGCTCTGCCTCACCGCAGACACCAGGTTCACGAGGTCGCCATTGGGCATTGGCTGCGGGTGGGCGGTAGTGAGGTCGCCCCTGACGCCGTCGCCGCCATCGTACCGCACCTGTGTTGTGGTGGGGGTGCGGGTTGGCGCACGCCAGCCAGCGCCACTCTCCCTGGCCCCACACGGTGTGGGCACAAAAGCTGCCCTGTCCCGCCCACCACACCCCCTGCACACCCACCACACCTGCGCCAGCGTGCGCAGCGAGGCGGGGTCCACGCGGTACGTGCCCTGCACCGTCTCGGTCAGAGCCACGGCGCCGCCACCCTGCACACACCACAGAGACCCGCAGCTCAGGGCCGCAGCTGCACGGCGGCACGGGGGCAGCAGGCTGGCATGCGGGGTTGACCAAGCCAACTGGAGTCTGTTCGTCATGAGCACGCAAAGGAGCTCCAAGGCACACGCACCACCCATCCTGTTGCGCACCGGCAGCGGCACCACATTCACGCTGGCATTGTCGGTCACGCCCTGCGCCAGCCCAAGAACCCCGCCTAGCGTGCCAGCCACATCCACCAGCCGATCTTTGAGGCCCTCGTACTTGGGAGCTGCGGCAGGGGACAAGCGGGGCATTGTGAGCAACAGGAGCCGCCATAGCAAGCAGGACATGCAGCAGGCAACACGGGGCGGCAGAGCGCTCCTCCTCTTCATTCCTTGCCTGTGGCAAACTCCCGCCACCTCATCTTGCCGGTGGAGGCGTAGTGCCGCCACGCCGCGGATTCAATGTACCTGTAAGGCCTCAACACAAGGTAAACACGCCTGTGGTAAACACGCCTATGTGCAGGAAAGGGAGCGGGCGCATGCAGGCGGCCAGCACCAGGTACCTCACCGGTGAGAGCCGGTGGCAGTGTTGGCCTTGCCGTCAAACTCAAAGGACGACAGCATGCCATAGCCGTCGAACATGTGCTCCACGGCTTGCAGGTCGCCCGGCCCGTTGCGAATGTAGGTCCCATTCAGCCACTCGGGCAGGCGCCCAGTCACGCGAGTGGGCACCCGCTCGGCTGGCTGCCTGTCGGTGGAACTGTAAGCAGCCGCCCGGCAGGCGGCTGTTGGCCAAGATGGCGGCAGGCTGCTGTCCTGCCCACTTCTGTCGAGCGCGGCAGCCACTTCGCCCGTAGCGCTGCACTGAACCCGGACCGCTAGGCGCGGACGGGGGCCGAGCGGCGCCGGCGGTCGACCACACAGCCTGCTGCTGAGCAGTGTGCAGCCGCTGTACGGGACATGAGCGGCCGCCTTCATTCAATGAAAGAAACAAGCCTGGCGCTGCGCTCTGAGTGAGAGGGCGGACTGATGGGAGCCGGGCAGCACGCCGAGACGGAAATCAGTTGTCTTCCAGCCGCACAACAATGGCAAGGCAGAGTGGACGTGCCGGCTTGCCTTGGGGCTTGCGCACGGCACCTCTGTGCCAGCTAGGCGGCATCGGTACAATCTCCTCCTTGCCTTGTTATTGATCTGCGCCGATCGTGACCACCGATACAATTCAGGAGATTGAAGGGGGGCCTCTTGCAGCCTCCCAGCACAATACCTAGCGATCAGCTCGCCAGCCCCAGCTGCCGCAAGCGTGCCCTACCCAGCCCAAGCTGTGTTTCAGGGCCAATTCTGGCCTGTGGTGCGTGCCGCTGGCCCCTGCCCGCCGCATGTGTGAGCACCAAGGCGCCCACCACCTCGCCCATTTGAGCTGGGCCCGGCCCAGTTTAGCGCGCAACGACTCCGGGCTTCTTGAATATTCGGCTACGAAATGACCAAGGCGGCGACGGTGCAGTCCAGCGGCGCGAGCCTGTCGGCGGCCGCCCTTGGCGCCGCCGCCACACGAGCGCTGTCAGCACGGCCGGGCACCCCCAGCCGCTTGTGTGCGCGCACCATTGTGGAGACTGCGGCCTGCCCACCGGAGCTGAAGAGGGGGGAGCAACCCTGGCGAGTGGTGTCGCATGCCGCATGCCGCGTGCCGCAGGGCTGGGCCGGAGGCTGGTGAAGCTGCCTCGCAGCATCCTCGGCCGCTGCGGTTTAGCAAATGCCTGGCCCCTTACAGTTTCGCTGCCGGGCAGCCCTGCCCTGCTGCAGGGCCTTCTCCGACTTCAAGGTGCAGAAGATGCTGGGGGAGGGGGTGATGAGCAGCGTGGTGCACTGCGTGTGCGGGCGCAGCGGCGTGCACGCCGCCATCAAGATGTACCACCGGGACCGCATGAACGCCATGAATGTGAAGCAGGTGCGTGGCGTGTGTATGTTTGGGGGGAGGAGATGGCTGGCTGGGACCTGGGCTGGCAGCAGGCGCCACGGTTGGTGAACAGCCTTGCCGTGCTCGTCCTGGCCCCCTCCAACCACCTGCCATCGTGGCCCCGCGAGCAGGTGTCCCGCGAGATTGAGATCCACGCCTCGCTGCTGCACCCCAACGTCGTGCGCCTGTTTGCCGCCTTTGAGGACGCCGACGGAATCTACCTGGTGCAGGAGTATGCGTCGCGGGGTGAGGCAGGGGTGGGGGTGGGGCTGGGCGCACCTCACGGTTGCCGACATCGCATGGGTGGCGGGCCGGGTGGCAGCCAGCCAGGCGGCAACCAGGGCGGCAGCAGCAGCAGGGGATCTCTGCCTGAGCTGAGCTGTGCGCAGCTGCTGCTGCAGCGCCTCCCTGCCTTGCTGCACCCTTCCATCACCTCTCCTCACCCATCTGCTGCCCCCCCTGCCCCCACCCCACCCCTCCTGCAGGCGACCTGTACGTGGAGCTGAGCCGGCGGGGCGGATACATGCCGGAGGCGCACGTGGTGAAGAATGTGCTCATCCCCTTCCTCTCCGCCCTCACCTACATGCACACGCAGGTGTGGGGGAGGCCCGCATGTGGCGGCCTGCATCTTCTGGGCAGGACTGCAAGTTCCTGCCCAGCAGGGCAGACACCGGGCAGCAAGGCGCCCACTCCCTGTGCTTTTGTGCTCCCTTGCCGGCTGGCCCGCGCGCTTCGCAGGGCGTGCTGCACCGCGACATCAAGCCCGAGAACATCATGCTGAGCGGGGAGGGGGAGGTGAAGGTGGGGGATTTTGGGCTGGCCATCAACACCACCAGGCAAGAGAGTGTGTGTGTGTGTGTGTGCGCGCGCGCGCGTGTGTTGCGTACAGTGCGGGGGCAGGCCGGGTGGCCCCTGTTGGTGCCAGCAGCTGATGCCGGCCAGAAATGTGGGGATTGGGGTTGGGGATGCTGCTGCGCCTGCTGACTGGCTGGTGCTGGTGCGGGCGTGTGGTGGTGCAGGGAGAAGCCGATGTCGAGGGTGGGCACCCTGGACTATATGCCGCCAGAGGTGAAGCTGGCCCCACCCCGGCTGGCTGCCCCAGGCCTTCCTGCGCCTATCACTGCTGCAGCTGAGTCCACCCCAAGGCCGGCCACCCCCTGGCATTTGCGCCGCAGATCGTGAAGCTGCCGCACGGCGGCAGCAGCCTGTCGGCAGTCGGCAAGGTCGGGTGCGAGGACGGCGCGGCGTACGGGCTGCCGGCAGACGCGTGGTGTGTGGGGGTGCTGGCCTACGAGCTGCTGGTGGGGTCGCCGCCCTTTGAGGCCGAGAGCAAGTGAGCTGGCGGGCGGATGGGGCTGCGGGGGATGCGCAGGGGGATGCGGAGGGGCACACTGCGCCATGGCCCTGGGCCTGGCATGCCCGCACACTTCTTCCAACTCCTAAGAGCCGGCCTCGCTGGCCAGCTTGGAGTTCTGCTGCTGCCTGCTGGACATTCACGCTCGCTGGGCACATGGCGCCAATGCGCCGTGGACAGCAATTGCCACCCCCTGCATCCCCGCCCACGTCGTTCCTGCTTGCCCCGCAGGGATGCCACCTACACCCGTATCCTGAAGTTGGAGCCCTCCATCCCCTCCCACCTGTCAGACCAGGCCAAGGGCTTCATCAGGCAGGCCCTCAAGAAGGACCCCTCCCAGCGCCCAACCGTGCACCAGATGCTGCGCCACCCCTGGCTGCGCACCTACCAGGTGGGCAGAGGCTGCCCTGGCCCACTCCTCCGCATTGTTGAGCCCGGTTTCGGGATGTGTCGCAGATCGGGGGCCCTGACCACCTGTAACGCCTGACACCTGCCCCGCTCCCTTGCGCGCCTGGCCGGCTGGTGCAGCGCCCCAAGTCCATGGCGGTGCTGGAGTCGCCCTCCAAGGCTCAGCTGTCTGCCAGCTTCACACCAGCCGCCGCTGCTGCGGCCCCAGCAGATGCCAACACCGACCAGTTGGCGGCGGCAGCGCACACCGAAGAGCAGGGCGAGGCGCCCCAGGCCTCAGCCATCAGCATCACTGCCCCTCCAGGGCCCGCTGCGACGCTAGACGTCGCTGCGGCGGCAGCAGCGGCCGGCCCCGGCCGCGCAGCTGGCTTTGGCAAGTCGCTGTCCTTCTCCAGCGCCATGGCGGGCAGGTTCAGCGCAGTCAAGCCCACCAAGCCCTCCCCCTTTGGCCTGCTCATGCGCCGCAAGGGGAGCGCCAATGACCACAGCGACCGCAGCGGCCCCGGCACCCCGACCCACAGCAAGAGCACCCTCAAGGGCAGCACCAGCAGTCGTGCGGCAGCGACGGCTGGCAGAGAGGCTGCTGCAGCCGCTGCGGTGGCCGAGGTGGAGGCGGAGCAGGCGTTGACGCTGACCGGGAACGCAGGGCAGGCAGTGGAGGCGGCCACCGGCGGTAAAGCCGCCCCCGATGAGCGGGCGGGGATTCGCGTGCCTGCGGTCTCCGGCTCGGCGGCCGCCGGCGGAAGTGCCGGAACTGCTGTCCGGCTCGCCTCGCCCGGCAACGCTTTGGCGACCACTCTGGCAAGGCAAACTGGGCAAGCAACGGATGACCTCATTCCAGCAGCTCTTCACAAAGGCAACCCCCCCCGGGGGCTTGGCACTGCCGCTGCTGCCACTGCTGCCCCCAACGATGTCTAACCAAGGCCGCCCCAGGGCGGCGGCCACAAGAAGCACCTGGCCACCGCTCGGGGCAGCTTTGCAGCCGCCATCAAGCGCAAACTGAGCAACATGGGCGCAGGAATGTTTGGCACAGCCGCTGGCGTGGAGGAGGCTCTGGCAGCAGAGGCGGTGGCAGCGCATGCTGGCATGCCTCCCAGAGCCAGCGGCATTGGCACCATTGCCGCGGTGCAGGCGCCCTCCATGCAGCAGCTGCTGACGCCACCTCCCAGTGGGGCAGCCCCAGCCTCTGGTGGCCTGAAGCGATCCAGCAGCGGCAAGCGACTGCTGCTGGCCATCGGCAGGAAGTGGAGCCTGGGCGGCAGGAAGGATCCAGCCATGTCGGCACTCAGGGCAGTTGGAGCGGCATCTGCCTCAGACGGCGAGACGCCCTGAGCTGTTGGCCGCACCATCTGTAGGATGCGGTGCTCATGTGGTGATCTGGCTGGCAGGGGTGTGGATGGCTTCACAGCCAACCGAGTCGGTAGTCTTCAAAAACAGCTCAGCGAACGTGCGGTGTGGGCTGCCATCCAGCAGGGCAGCAAGCATCAGGCCCCCCCATGTTTGGATCATTGGACTATTTTTATCTCGAGTTTGTATTACCATGAGGGCGTTCTTTCATCTTTAAAGAGCAGTGAGTGTAAGCGGCGTGCCAATCACGAGTCTTAGCATCGTGCCAAGGAGGGACCTGGCGAGCTGCTGCACGTCCCACTCGACATGCGCAAGGCGGCAGAGCTGATCTATTCTGCTGCGCTAGTGTGCATGCCAGAGCCAAAGCCGTGCAGCCAGGTGACCCCGCCAGTACCGCTTGTTGCATTCCGTAGCGCTGCAGACGCCGCGACTGCGGCAGCCGCATGGCACTGACGCCTGCTGCGAGCCAGCTGGCGCTCCAGCCTGCGCAAATCAGGGGGCGAAGCATTGCGTCGCTGCGTGAACTCCATGCACTTAATTCCGGCACGGGAACATCCACCGTACCTCTCCAGCTGCTGCTGCAAGGAGAGCAGGACTGGTGGCTGTGTGATCACTCCCAGCTGGCTCTCGCCGCACAAATCGCCACTGGTGGCACAAACTGTGTCTGGCGCGTCTCCCAGGGCAGACTCTGACTGTTGCCGGCCAATGGCCGGCTGCTCACGCTGGCTCTCGACGACAACCGTGCTTGCTGTGTCCTGCACTGTACTGGACACGCTTTGCGGCGGGGCTATTGCCGAGCATGGTCGCTGAGGATGCAATCCTGCCCTATCCTGTACGGGGGCTGGGGATAATGCCACTTGCTGGCAGAAGCCTGGCAGCGGCCTGGGTGCCTGCCTGCGGCTCCCGTCATCTGCCACAGGAGCAGACTGTGATTGCACCAAGGCCTGCACTGGCTGTCCTGTCCGGCAGGGCTGCTCAGCCGCAGCGCTGCTGCTGCCACCGTGAACCTCATCCATTCCTGAAGAGAGCAGCAGCGTGCCATCTGCCGGGGAACCTCCTGAAGTGGAACAGGTATTGCTGAAGCTGCTGCTAAGGGGGCTAGGAGGGTGGTCATAGGCGTTGGCGCCACTTGGTGAGCTTGGCGAGCGACTGTCTTGTGTGGAAGTTGAGGAGGCACTACGCACGGTATGCCATTCGCTGGGGCATCTGCTACAGCCAGCACTGCAGCTGGTCACGGTGCTGCTGCTCAATGACGCGCCCGCTCGGCTGCCCTCCCACATTGATTCTGAGTCTGTCGATCTGTCAGGGCTAATTCTGCTGCAGTGTTGGCTGGAGGCGGCTGCCTCATCTCCCACAGATGTCAACCAGCTGCGATGGCTGCCGGCAACACTGATCGGAACATCCGAGCTGGGAACGTCTGCTGGCTTGCTGGCTGGCACTGCCTCGCAATCCACCGCCTCATCTGTTCTGCTCGCTGGCCTAGCAGTCCCCTCTGGCAGCGCCGATACCGACTGCACGCAGGCTGCACCGGCAGCAACAACAGCGGCCTGCTCCATGCCTGCCAAAGCCAAGCGGGCTGGTCCTGAATAAGCTGGTGCCGCAACCGTATCTGCTGTGATGGCATTAACCTCATCCTCCTCGAGCTTCGCAGCATGATTCAGGGCCAGCTGGGCCACTCGCTCCGCCTTGCCCGCTCTGCAGCAGCGCAATGAGCAGCACAAACCTGGGACATTGTGTGTTGCCATTTGCTAGCATCATGAGCAAGGCAGCCACGTCTGTGCAGCGCACCGTGTTTTCCACTTGAGCGCGGCTGCTGAAGCCACCGCCGCCGCATCGGTCCAGCCTGCCGCCCGCATCTGCTCCGCCTCCGCATCTGCAGGCAATGCTGCGGCAGTGCCTACTTCTTTCCCATAGGGAATATTGAAATGTCTCCCAACAAGCATGTCCAAAATCGCACAACACCAACCTGCTTGTTGTGCCCTAGCCTGTGCGCGCTGCCTCTTGTCCTCATACTTTGCAGCAGCGCTCCGTGCCCTTGTGGCAAGCTGAGAAGTTGGTGCTGCTGGCAGCTGCGAGGCAGCCTGAGAACTATCGCTGCCACTGGCATCCAGTGATGCAGAGGCTGATCGCTGGCCAGGCAGCTGCTCCTGCTGTGCAGGCTGCTGCTCATGATGCATGAAAAGCAGCAGGCTGCTTTGCTGGGACATGCTGGGGACGGCTGAGATGGCAGTCACACGCACATCTGTGCCGGCCACGCTGGCATCATGCTGTGCTACCCCTGCGGCTTGCTGAGCCTGCTTTGCCCGCTGTTGCCACCCATACATTCCCGCTGGCACCGTCTCGGTACCAGCACACGAGGCTCTGTCTGCTGCATCATCCGGCCTGAGTGCTTCTGGCACGCACGCACTTCTGGTGCTGCTGGGCTGCAACTCGGGCTCCTCAGCAGTGCTGCCAGCCACACCTCCGTGGTGCACTGCCTGAGCCATCCACACATTCTGCATGGTTGGCGGCACTGGCTTGGCATCCTGCCAGTGGATGCCTGGCAGCGATATGGCAGGCGCCTCCAGTTGCAGCAGCAGCTCCTCAGGCCGCGGCTAAGAAAGGCCTTCTTTGAAGGCGCTGGAGCTAGTGTCTAAACCCTCCGAGAGGGCACAGGTTCGATTCCTCCCATGTCGAAACTTTGTGAGGACAAACGCGGCATAGCTGACCGGCTCAGCGCCAATCCAAGCCAATTCCTTCGGGAACGCCTAATAGAATCGCCAAGGCTTCGGCACAGGCCTCCCCGGGACCCATTCACTACTAGTGGGGGGTACTGCACTTGGCGCGTCGGGCAGATCAAATAATGGTCTAAAGCTAGACGTTAAAACCGGGAAGTGAAGCTTGTGGAGGCTCTTCCCCACCTTTACCTTTACCTTTATCCTCCACCAGAAGCAAAGGCTGGCTTGCTGGCCATGCCGCATCTTCGGTCACGTCTGCCTGGCAAGGGCTGGTGGATGTGGAGGCTCCTGTGCCGCCGTTTGCAGCCACAGCGGCTCGCGATGCCCACTTCATTGCAGTGCGCAGGGCTCTGGCAGCTTCTCCTGCCATTATGATGCAGTCACCGTTGCTGGTGCAGAGGGAAGCCGCTGCTTCGACAGCTACCGCCGCTTCCTGCTCCAGTTGCTGCACCTGCCTGGCTGCCTGGCCAGCAGCAGCCTCGGCGGTCGCTACTGCCTCGCACAGCCTGCATTAGGGAAGGGTCCGGTGGAGAAGGGATGAGGTCCATGTGCTGGATGACAGGAGAGCGAGGAAAACTGCGAGCATTGGGTTTTTGACGAGCAGCCGTTTCACCTGTCGGCGTCCAAAACAGCCGCGGCTGCCTCCACAAAGTGGCCCTGAGCTTCCAGCTCTCGTGCCTCTGCTTGGGCGACCGACACAGCCAGCTGAGCTGCCATAACAGCGGCCTGCCTGGCTCCTGCTTCCCGCTGCATGGCGCCGTGCGCCTGCTGCAGCAGGCTCTGCGCAATTGCTCCTGCCTCTTCTGCTGCCGTATTGAGAGAGATGGCTGGCGCATCGCTTGGGTCGACACCACTGCGTGCGGCAGCAAAGACGGTGTCCCCGCTGCCAGTGAGACGGCCCATGCTGCCCACGCTATCATGCTTGACATGCGTGGCCAGCCGTTGCAGCAGCCGCGCTGGCATGACTGCCGCAGAGGCTACACCTGCCTGTTCACGCTGAAGAAGCTGCATGGCTGCTGTGGAGAGCTGCGGAGAGCTGTTGGCTTGCTGGTCTTGCTGCCCCGGCAGAGCTCCAGCCTCGTCAATTAATGCCGTGAGCTGCATGCTGCAGGTCTGCACCGAATTGCTGTCGGCAATCTGCGCCCCCCCGCTAACTCCCTCCTCCTCTGTCACAAAACACAACCCCGCCTCCAGGTCAGCTAGCAGGGCATCTACATCGCGTGAGTCCAGGCCGCATGGCACAGCCGGGCTGCCACTTGGATCCGCTGCTGAAATGTCGCGCTGCACGCTGCTGGCCCAGCATATCTCCTGGGCTGCCTCCTCGGCTGCCGCAATGGCTGCATCATAACTGGGTCCGCCACGACTGCTAAGCGAGCCAGAGGTGACATGCACCATGGTAGTGCGCATGCTGCTGCTCCGCTTGCAATCTGCATCATCATCAAGTTCCTCCAGTTGTGCAGACGCCGGGGCCAACACTACAAGAACAATTCATGGCACCATGCAATCATTGATGTGCGGACAATAGTGGAATGCAACCCTGTGCACCCATTGAAATGAGCGGAGTCCCCACCTGGAATTGCATCCCTCTCAACTTCTTCTCGCTCGTGCGCAGGTGCAGGTGACAATATATCTGCTTCACAACGGCTTGTGGCTGCTGCCAACACATGCTGTATGAATGTGTGGGGGGCCACTGCATGCTGCTGCTGGTCAAATGCAGGCACAGGTTCAACCATGCCCTTGCTGCCCATGTCAACATCCTGGCCTTGTGCAGTGCCTTCCTCCTGCTCGCATGGGGCTAGCACCATAACCACCTGTGGCAGGGAGGCTGCGCCTGGCAACATGGCTGCTTCACTGCTGCCTGCCCTATATGTTGACAGCAGCTGCGCCAACGCAGCTGTCTGGGCATCTGTGCCAGGGATATAGCCTGGAGACGTATGCAGTTGCCGCTGCTGCTGGGTGCTCTGCTGCCAGGTCGGGCCACTTGGCCCGCTGTTTGCCGGGCCAGCTCTGCCGGGGGAGGCAGAAGATGACAGGCAGGATGGTGGGTCCAGCTGATCACTTAGCGCCATGTGAGCAGGAGGGGCAGGCTGCAGGCGACATGCGCCATCAGTAGATGAAGTGTGCAACACAGATGCTGGACCGTGGGCGCACGGTGTTGCCAGCACCTGCACTGGTTCCACAGCATCAGCGTGCTCTGATGCTGCCTGATCAAACAGCGCCGCCAGGCTGCTTCCTCCAGTAGCGTAACACGTGGTTGGCGCGGAGGCAGAGGGCAGAAGGCCTGCCTGCTGCAGCAGGGCGTGCCTGACAACCTCCATCCTGCATGTGCATCCCATCGCACAAGTTTGGGCGTGCATTTAGATATGCAATATTGGTCAGTTCACACATTCTATGCCACCCACCTTTCCGTCTCAAGGGAAGCGTCCTTCAGGCTTGTGTCCAGTACCGCTCGCGGCTGCGCGGCGTGTTCTGCTGCCTCGGTTTCACGGGCAGTGCAGGCGGCCCGTACAAACGCAGCTGTGGAGGGGCTGAGTGTTGCTCCTGTGTGGAAGGGCAGCGGGCTCAGCTGCGGGCTGCTGCTGGCTGGGGGTTCAGGTTCTGACGGCCCCGCCAAGGTCTTGGCAAGTGGGGTGCCGAGAGCAATTGGCTCCAGGGTGTCATTATGCCGGCATCCTTGGGTGGTGCTGGACGACAGGCTTGCTGGCACCCCGGGTTCACTGTCAGCGCGTGCTGCACCTCCAGAGGGAAATGTGTGGGTGGTGTGCTGCTGCAGTCCTTCATGGGGCCCCAGTGCCGGGAAGGGGATGGGCGAGGGCACGCAGGAGCAGCTGATGTCACCGCCGCCAGCTGCCGGCGGAGACTCGACCTGCCCCAGCTCCCACAGGCACGCATCCACGTCTGTCTGCAGGCTGGACACCACGCCATACGCGCGGTGCAGCAGATCAACGCGGTCTTGGGCTGACTGGAGCAGCCTGCAAGCCGCCTCCTCTGGGCTGGATATCATAGCAGCACCCACCGCAGCAGCGTCTTTGCCGCCTGCGACGGCTGAATCCCTGCTGCCCCCTCCCGCTGCTGCCAGGATGGCGGGGAGATGCCGCGCAACGTCAGCATGGAAGCTGGTGCCGCCCACTCGCGTGTCAATCTCCCACAGCAGGCCGCCGACGTCATTCTGCAGCGCCCCAATGATGCCTCTGCACCGCTGCAGCAGCTGTCCGCTCTGCGCCACGTGCTTTTCCAGCTCCATGGTGTGCGCTGCAGGGCCTCAATGCTGACCAGATTGCGCTGGCCACCACACCACCGGCCAGTGACGCCGCCTCCAGTCGGTTGCTGCCGCCACCGCACAGGCGCCCCAGCAGGGCCGCCGTTATGATGGGCGGCTGGCCTCTGGGGCTCCTACAGCGCTACGCCCGGCCTGTGCGTAGGCGCCTTGCGCCCCAGCGTAACAGGCGGTCGGCAGGGTGTCGGTAGCGGCTCACACGGCGCAAGGCATTCGACGGACGGGCCAATGGACGGTGAGAATCCTCGCCATTGAATCCAAGAGCCGGCTGCGTGTGCGTGGCGGGCGTGTCCTGCTGGCACCTACTGCCGTCAGAGCAATTGAATGCAAAACCTTCAGATCAATCTCATAGCATATTGTGCCATGCCCTGGACGGAGGCGCTCACAGAAGCGGCTCAACTGAACATGCCGCAAGTGGAACCAGCGTCCTTGATTCACCTGAACAACGCTGGCAGCTCTATCCCCACCAGAAAGACCCTGGGCGAAGTGCAACGGTGGCTGCACAGGCAATGGGCTGTGCCTGCCCGCCTGCGCCGCAGCCCCGCCGCTCTCGAGATTGCATGGCCCGCCCCTCAGAGTGCACCTGAAGGTGCATGGCCAACACCGGCACCCAGGGGGGGGCGCCAGCTCTCTTCACGCCAGAATCTTCACGTTGGCGCTGCAGGGAGGCCACCCGTGGCGGTTATGAGACCGTTGACGCCTCTGCCGATGCCCTGCACCGCCCCTATACAGCGCTGGCGGCCCTGCTCCACTGTTCCCCTGATGAGCTCGCCATCGTGAGCAGCGCCACCGCCGCATGGCAGCAAGTCATCTATGGCCTGGCGTGGACTTGGCGGCCCGGAGACCGGGTGCGTGCCTGCCCAGTTGAGTGAGTTGGAGAGCTCCTCAGGCTCCAACTGCCTCGCCCTGTCCACCCTCTGGCAGGTGCTCACCAGCGTCGCGGAGTACGGGAGCAACTACATCGCGATGCTGCAGTTAGCGAGACGAACAGGAGTTCGAATCGAAGTGATCCCGGAGACAACGGATGGAGACATTGACATAAAGGTAAAGGTAAAGGTGGGGAAGAGCCTCCACAGGCTTAACTTCCCGGTTTTAACGTCTAGCTTTAGACCATTATTTGATCTGCCCGACGCGCCAAGTGCAGTACCCCCCACTAGTAGTGAATGGGTCCCGGGGAGGCCTGTGCCGAAGCCTTGGCGATTCTATTAGGCGTTCCCGAAGGAATTGGCTTGGATTGGCGCTGAGCCGGACATTGAAGCTTTGAGAGCAAAGCTGGCGAGCGGCAAGCCCCCAGTGCTCGTAGCCATCACCCATGTGCCAACCAGCTCAGGTGGTCCACCGTCAGCAACCAACCCAGACTGCCTGCTATCTCCAGACTGTCTGCACTGAGTGTGATGTACTCTGCTGCGGCTGCAGGGCGCGTGTACGATGCCGCAGCAGTTGGGGCGGTGTGCCGTCAAGCCGGCGTGCTGTACATGCTAGATGCCTGCCAGAGCGTAGGGCAGCTACCCGTGGATGTCCAGCACATCGGCTGCGACTTCCTGTCTGCAACTGGGCGCAAGTACCTGCGTGCGCCACGCGGCAGCGGCTTCCTGTTTTGCAGAAGGTATGCAGCAGTGTTGTGGTATCGGCACCGGCGACTTTGGCGTCTGTCATGGGCTTGACACTGCAGATTTCTGCTTGCTGCTCGCTCTTTAATCCTCGGCTTTGAAGCACCAGCTGCTCCGCGGAATTTTATTATGCAGAGATGCGCTCAACAAGTTTGAGCCTGCCCTGCTGGACAACGTTGGCGCATCCTGGACGGGACGGGACGAGTACACCATGCAGCCCAGCGCCAAGCGGTTTGAGTCATACGAGATGAGCTTCGCTGCAAAGGTATGAAGGTGGTACAGGTGTATCTTGCATGGAGCAAGTTTCCCGCACACCTGCAAGTGATGTGGCCCAAGTGGTGCTGATGACGTGCTGGCTGCTGCAGGTTGGGCTGGGCGTCGCGGTCGGCGAGATGGTGGAGGAGCTGGGCATTGACCTTGTTTGGGAGCGCATTCAGCACCTAGCACACGTGGTTCGGCGTGGCCTGCGGGAGCTGCAAGGCGTGACTGTCCAGGATCACGGCCGCCAGCTGTGTGGCCTGGTCAGCTTCACAGTGGCAGGCCTGACAGGTGGGCTCGACTGCTTGTGTGGCTGCGGCGCATGCCCTGGTGCACATGGCCTGATGTATTTCGTTCCGGTGCCTTGTCTGCTCAGCCCTGGGCAGCCATCCCTGTGCCCATCTATCTGCAGCTGACCAGGTGCAGCAGGCGCTGTCGGCGCAGCACATCAACGTGTCTGTGTCACGCATCGGCTCCACCAGGATTGACTATGAGCGGCGCGGCTTGAGCGAGGTCGTGCGTGCCTCGGTTCACTACTACAACACAGAGGCGGAGCTGCAACGCTTCCTGACGGCAGTTGCTGGCCTGGCAGGCGCGCTAAGCTGAGCAGCGGTGGCACTGTTGCTGGGCTTGGCAGTGCAGGCAGTGCAGCGGATTCGCTTTACAAGGGCGTGCCTTGTAAAGAACCAGGCTGCCTGCTGTGTTATGCCCACCATGCACAGCACTCAGTCCCAGGATGGCAGGCCAGCCCCGGCACCCACGTCTGCCACGGCCGGCAGCAGCGCTTTCAGCGCCTGGAGGCCGGTGACCACAGGCTGCGCCTTGCCGCCCTTCTTCTGCTGCTTGCCCTTCTTCTGCCGCCTCATGTCGATGACCTTCAGCACGCCTGCAGAAGATGGCAGGGACTGTCCGTCAAGGAATGCAGCAGGGCGTGGCTGGGCTGGCTCCAAACAGTGGGACTCCAATTGAAACTGGTATTCGACGGGCCATTGCCTCTTCATCCTGATACGGACCAGTCTGCTTGGGGTCACGCTTCTGCTTGGATGGCTTCCCCAGCAGCTCAGCCGCATCTGCCACGTCATCATCATCGCTCGGGAATGCAGGTGGCTGTGCGTCCTGGCTGCCATGCTTCAATGGCTTGGAGGGCCTGCCGGGCTGCTGGTGCGGGTCCTGCTGCTGGCTACGCTGCTTGGGCTGCTTGGTTGGTGCGGCGCCGGCTGCCAGCTCACCAGCCTGAGCTGCACCTTCTGCCGCCTCCTTCTGCTGACCATGCCTGCTGCGACGCCGCTTCTTCTTGTGAGGCTCTGCAGCATCTTCAGACGGCAACGCATGTTCCTGCTGGCCCGCCGCCTCCCTCAGCTTCCGCATTGCTGACGGCTGCTCCGCCTCCTGCATGCACCGTGCGGGAGCAGCAGTGTGCTGCTGCGGCTGGTCCATACTGCTCTTGCCTGCGCCATCTGCTGCCCGCTTCTTCTTGTGTGGCTGCTGTTGCTGTGCGGGTTGCTGAACCTGCTGCTCTCGGTGTGGCTTGGCTGCCAATGCCGCCTGGCCCTCGCCAACACCTTGCGTGCCAGCCTTTGGAGGAGGCGCACGTTCATCGCTTTGTGCAGCACCAGCCGCCGCTGCAGCCGCGGCCGCCGCCAGCTGCTTTCTGGGCCGCTCCGCAATGCGCTGAGTGTCCAGGATTTCCAGGCGGGGCAGCAGCGCCGAGATACCCTCACGATAGCCAGGTGCCGAAGCCAGCGGGCAGCCCTTGAGGCTGACCGACCGCAGCTGCGGAAGTCGCGACAGCACCTGCAGCAGCGGCAGCCACAGTGGAGAGAAGGGCTGAAATGAGGCCACCACTGCGATGGAGGAGCTGCTAGGTAAGGGGAGCATGGTATATGATGTAGATGTGGCAAGGGGAACATTCGGCATCCGCCACGGCAATGAAAGGCTGCGCCGATATCGGCCCTGCTGGTTGGTGTGGCATTGCAACAAGATCAGGTGCCATAGTGGATTGAGGCGACCCGTTTTATTACTATGCAGAGTGGCCAGCACGTGGCACGCAGCAATAAAACATGTCGCATGCCCCGCACCCCACCGCTCAGCTCAGCACACGACTCGCCCCACCTGAATGTCATCAAAAGAAGCAATGGGGTTCCCGCCAATATCGAGAATCCTCAGCCGCGTGTTGCTGGCCAGCTCGGCAGGCAGGGCATGGATTTGATTGTGGTTCAGGCGCAGTTCCGTCAGCATGGGGCAGCCTCTGCAGGACAGGCCAAGCGGGGGCGTTGCTGCCATGCACCAGACCACAACACCAGCCAGCAGCCGTGTCGGCACTGTACTCCAACTCGCAATGCCCAGCTCACTTGAGCGCCGCGCCCAGCTCCTGCAGCTGGTTGTGGCTACATGACAGCTTCTCCAGCTTGGGACACCCACCCAGCCAGCTGCCTAGGCTGGCAACAGCGTTGTGGCTCAACACCAGCGTGTTGAGCTCCCGGCACTTCTCCAGCCCTGTGTGGCTGGAACGCGCGTAGAGGTCAGTGTCGGGCCGGCAAGAGAGCAGACTCAGGACTTATATCAACAGCAGGGGTAAACGGCGCACCTCCAACCAGCGTGATTCGGTTTTCGTTTAAGATTAGGGCCTTCAGGGCGGGCAGTCGCACGGCCACCTTGCCCGCTATTTGATTGCGGCCCACGTTGAGAACCTGCAGGTGTGGCAGGTTTTTTTGTTTTTTGGAATTGTGACGAATGGTCATGGCATGATTGCGATATCCAGCAGCTATCTGCCAATTGAGGCACAGCCGCCATGCACCAATGGCGCTCCCAGCAGGCTGCAGCACCAAGCCGGACAAGCCAGCAGAAGCTGACCTCCAGGTTGGTCAGGTCCTTGAGGGCCGACCCCAGGCTGGTCAGCTCATTGCCGGCAGCCGACAGCCAGCGCAGGCCAGTGTTCATGCTGACGCCGTCCAGTGACGTCAAGCTGTTCTTGCTGAGGTCCAAGCGCACCAGCTTGGAGCAGAGTGCCAGGTCGACCACCTGTTGCAGCCGAGCGCGGCAAGTGGCGGCAGCTTGAGGCGGCAGCCACGGCATGTCGATGATGCATAGTTTAGGCGCCCCGCCGTCCCAACCGATCCATGCACTGCCCAGCATCTTTGGCAGCGACCGCTCTCGGCAAACTAGCTGCTGCAGGGAGGCATGCGCCGCCAAATGGCTTTGCCTCGCACCTCGGTTACTTCCTTGGCACTGGCATCCAGCCGTGTGACATCCTCCAGCCTGCTCTGCCCCGGCGCCAGCTGCTCCACGAGGGCGGGGGTCAGCTTGACCATGCCGCACCAGGCCCTGATCTAGAATATGCCTGAAACACAGGCTCTGATGGATGAAACAGGACATTGCTTGCCCTGCTGAATTGCCTCGCTGGCGGGAAGGAAGGCAGCAGGCAGCAGGGGCCCGTCTGTGATGGACAATTGCGCATTTCTTCCTAGGAAAACACTGTCGATTGCCTGTGAGCAAGTCCAAAGCCAGGGGATTGCCAAGCAGCTGAATACCACTTGCCCACTTGCCCACAGCGCCTCAGCGGCCACACGCGCACACAGAGGGCACGACCGGAGGGCCTGTAATGAGCCTCAGACATGCGGCTGTGCCTGGCGCAGCTGCAATACCCAGGCAGGCACCCCCGCCACTTGCTGCCCGCCGTCGGATGGTCGCTGCACAGCAAAGCAGCGGCCGCGCATCCGCAGCCTCTACTCTTGAGCACCAGGTCACGGAGGACAGCGCCCCTGCCATGAACACCCGCGTGGATGACCAGTACAAGTCATTCTTGGACAATTGGGACAGAGGCTTTGTGGATACAGAGGAGGAGCCGGAGGGCTACTGGATGGAGGCAGAATTCGGCCAAATTCCCATGGACCTGCATGGCACGCTGTTCAGGTGTGTGAGAGGGGAAGAGGCAAAGCTAAGGTGCACTATGTGTGGCTATCCTATGGCCATGTTATACAGCGAGCATGTCATACAGCGGGGCAGCAAGTTGACTGGCCCTCAGTTGACTGGCCCGCCATCAACTCTCCTTCGCACCGGCTGCGCAGGAATGGCCCCGGGAAGTTCCAGATTGGCTCCGACAAGGTGGGTCACCCCTATGATGGGGACGGGCTGGTCCTGGCAATCTCCTTCAACAACGGATCGGCCTTCTTCCGGTCACGCTTTGTGCGGACGGCAGAGTACCTCGCGGAGAGCAAGGAGCAGCGCATCATGTTCAGGGGAACATTTGGCACGCAGCGGCCGGGCGGCCCTGCGCAGAACGCCTTGGATGTGGTGGTGAAGAACACCAGCAACACTAACGTTGTTTGCTGGGGCGGGCGGCTGTGGACGCTCTTCGAGGCGGGCCAGCCGTACCGTCTGGACCCGAGCAGCTTGGAGACTGAGGGGCTGGAGACGCTGGATGGCCAGCTGCGTGCTGGGCTGCCTTTTGACATGGGATCCGCCGGTGCAAATGAGGCCTTTGGCTCCATGATCAGCGGCACGCAGCAGCGGCTGGGCAATGGCCCTTATATGCCACGCGAGCTGCTTGCAGCAGGTGGGAGCTGGCTGTGTGCCGCATGCGGCCTGCATCCTCCCTGGGGTTAAAACAAAGGCCGTAGGCCTGATGCAAAATTGCTGGATGCTTGGCTCTGCAGGAGGAGATGCGATGACGGCGCATCCGCATGTGGATAGCAACACAGGCCATCTGGTTTCATTCTCCTATCAAGTTGGGCCCCAGCTTTTCCCACCCTCGCTAAAGACAGCGCTCACGTTTTGGGAGTTCACGCCAGGCAAGGCAGCTGCTTGTGCCGAGGTGGAACCCCTTTCCTCTCGCGCCGCCTCTAGCCTCCCCACCGTTTTTTGCAGAGTTTGAGGTTGCGGCAAAGACGTCGTTTGAGCTGGACGGCTTCGCCTTCCTTCACGACTTTGCAATCACAAAGAACTTCTTTGTTGTTTTCCAGAATCCAGTGACAGGCAGGTCATGGTTGCTGAGGCCTCTCCTGGGCTCCTGCTTTGCCAAATGCCGCAATGCCCACCCTGCAGTCGACAACGTGCCATATGTGCTGGGCAAGGCCCCTGCGGCGGCCTGTGTGCGCTGGGTTGCCGGCAAGCCTACCCTGCTGCATCTCATACCCCGGCCTGGCAGGACGGATGCGCAGGTGGGCCGTGCTGCCCTCTCCAGGGCAGGAAGCATGCACATGCTGGCTGCTGGTTTTGCCTACCCGCTGTCTGTTAGCACATCACGCCTCACCTGCACTTGTTGGGCGCTGTGCAAGCCTGGCGTGCAGGGCCTCCCGCTGCAGCCACGCACCTTCACCGCGCCATCACTGTTTGTGTTCCATCATGCCAATGCTTACGAGTCTGAGGACGGCCAGCGCATTGTCGTCGACTCCATCCATTACGAAAGCCTGCCCGCGGTGGGCCGCGAGGCACTGGCGGAACAGCAGGTGGGCAGGGGCCACAGCCTGCTGCGTCCTTGCAGCCCCTGCTGCGCGCTGGCTGGCGCATCCTGCTCATCACCGCGGTCCTCAACTGGACGTTCTCAGCCACCTGATCCCACGTTGCGCCCTATTGCTGGCGCTATGCTGCCGCGCAGATCGACCCCGATGTGGCATTCCGCAGCCGGCTGCGCCGCGTGGAGATTGACCTGCGCACCGGCATGCTGCAAATCCGCAAGCAGTTTGACCAGTACCTGGAGATGTGTTCCATCAACGAGGCCCGCTCGGTGCGGCAGCAGGGCGCTAGATGAAGTCGCGCTGGTTTCTGCTGCTGGCGGTGTGCACTCAGAGGTGCCTGCATGGTGATGTTGACACCTGCAGGGCCGTCAGCACCGCTTCGTGTTTGGCTACAACAGCGTGTTTCAGCCTGACAACGACGTGCAGATTGGCATAGCAAAGGTGAGGAGTTAGCGCACTGCTGCAAGCCCAGGCATGCACCTGCCTTTCCTCACGGCCTTGTGGTCCTTGGTGCTGCCCCTGCGCCCAGGTGGACACGGTTACGGGCACGGCGGCCCTGTGGCGGCCCGGCTACCAGAAGTTTGCTCTGGAACCCAAGTTTGTAGGGCGGCCGGGGGCAACTAAGGAAGATGACGGCTGGCTGCTGACAGTCATGTTTGACAGCGGTGCGTGGCTGGTGGTGCCTGGACTGCTGCGTCACCATCATTGCTGCCTGCATGTGCACCCCCTTTCCATCCATCCCCGCTGCCGCAGTCTGCTGATTCGCCAATGGCGGCGTTGCAGGCACGCAAGATTGCCACCTGGTCATCCTCGACGCTCAGCATCTGGAGGCAGGCCCGGTGGCTTCCCTCAAGTTCAGGGATCCCGTTCCCAGCGGCCTGCACGGCTGCTGGAGCAGCACATACTACGGGCCTGATGCAGCGCCAGCGCAGTGAAGCCCTGCGCAGTCCTGTACATGGAAAAAACCGACGTCTGCTGGACCGCAGCACTGGTATCGCATCATTTCATGCATCGCTTGATTTTATGTAGTATCGCACTGCCTCCCAGCCCTGCTCCGCCTCCTGTGCTGTTGTTGCATGCATTTACAGACAATTACAACCCAGACAACAGAACAATCCGATTGAGACTGTGCATTTGTGCACACCGGCAGTCTGTCCAGCGCAGCAATGATGGCTGCTCCTTGCTTCATGAAGCCGTCCACCTACTCGCGGAGCGTCTTCGGGCCCCCCGCACCCACCACGCGCTCCTGCACACACACAGACTCCACGCTTGAGTGTCAAACATCACGACGGGGCCAGCTGAAGTGGGGAACGGAAGGGCCCTGCCGAGCAAGACAACTTGATGCTGGGTGTTCACCGGTGCAGAGGCATGGCGGGCGCTCACCGTGGTGCCCAGGTGCTCCACCTCGCCGGTGCCCACCTCGCGCTCGCCGCCCGTGGCGCGCGTCTCCACCTGCGGGGAGGCACGCGGGCAGGGGGTAATGAGGGCGACCGCTAGCGATCGCACAAAAGCACCCTTGCCGGATGCACATTGGCAGCCCCCTTCCCTCAGCAACCTGCCTCCCTCCCCCTCCCCTGCCTCACCACGAACTCCTTCTCCACCGGGCGGTGCTCCTGCACCAGCTCCACGCGCTCCTTTACCACGGGGCGGTCCTCCACCTTGGTGAAGTGCTCGGCACTGATGGTGCTGCCCTCGCCGGTAGCCACAGGCATCCCAGCGCCTGCGGTGGTGGTGGTGGTGGTCTGCAGGCGGCGGGGGAGGGGAGGCAGGCAGGAGCGCAGTTGTGGGCTGGGCTGGCCTGGCCCCTGCCAGGGTCTCCCGTTGCTATGCATTGCGTGGCTCCCTAAAAGGCGCCGCAACTATGGGAGTGCCTGCGCTCACCTGCTGCACCGGAATCTCTGCGGTGGTTCCGTAGCCGGTGGTAGCGGTGCCGGCCTGGCCCATAGGCGGGGCGGCCGCAATGTCCGAGGCCGTGGTCGCGGTGCCGGGAGCCACGGGGGAGGCGATACCCTGCGGGGTGGCAAGGGCCAATCAGCGCTGGATGGACGTGCGCGTCTGGATGCTGTGAGCGGCCTTGCGTTGGGGATGCAGGCCCAGCCTGAAGGGCGCTGCCGCCAGGTGCCTGCTGGGCTCCCGCAGCTGCCCCGCCAGCTCACGGGTGCGCCCTCTGCGCCGTAGGTCGCCCCCACGTTCTGGTACGAGGAGCCGAGCTCGCCGGCGTGCGGCGCTTCGCCCGTGTGGCCCACGCCCATCTTGTGGGCTACGTCCTTGATCTTCTGCATGGCTGCCTGGCTGGCTGGGGAGGTTGCCGAGGGAGGAGTGGCGCGCCTGCGGGCGGCGGGCACCAGAGCGGGCGGGGCAGGCATCAGGGGGCGGGCCGGTGGCCCCAGGAGGCGAGGGCAGCGCCTCGGCGGGTGCCGACAGGGCTGTCCTAGGGAGGCCTGCAAAGAGCTCTCGGGCCCGCAGCACAGGCACACAAGGTGGCGGGGCTGAGTGCGTCCCCACCTTGTCCTGGCGCTGGAGAGCGAGCTGTGAGTGGAGGAGGGTCACTCTTCTCACACACTAGGCCCTGGCAGCCGAAGGTGATGTCAGATGCCAAGCAGCTTCCAAGAAAGCACTGCTGACTCACACTTGGACTGCAAAACGACCAAACTGACAGTTACTGAGTTCATTTCCTGAGGTTTCTGGCGAACCCAGCCACCCCCTCAGAGACACCCCCACCACCCTCACCCTCAGCTGCTATGGAACGAATCAAGGAGGCCTTTACGGGCAAGAGCAGGGAGGAGCGGGCTGTGGAGCACGAGGAGGGCCGCCACCACCCCGGCATGGGCACCACCGTGGGCGGTGGGGGCTCCGCCGTGGGCGACACTCGCGCCGCGGCCACCGGCACTGAATACACCGGCGGCGTGGCGGGCGGCCCGGCCTATGGCAGCACGGTGAGCCTTGGGCTTGCTGGGGGTCCAGACTAGGTAGCCTGGGCTTGAAGGGGCCAGGGCAGGGGCGCAGGGGAGGGCTCGGGCCGCGTCCAAGGCTGTCCGCAGTGCAGCACTCTCCTGCCTCACTGCTCCGCGCCCTGCTGCCGCGGCCCTGTTGCAGGCCACTGGCTACACTGCAGAGGTGCCGGTGGTGCAGCAGGTGGGCAGGGCGGCGATGCCGAAGCGGCAGCAATCTTGCACGCTTCCGTGCTCGCGGTTTGCCCCGCCCCTGCCCTGCCCACACCGCCCCCTCCCAACCACTTGCCGCGCTCGCGCTGCCTGCCACCCTGCAGACCACCACCACCACCGCCGCTATGCCGGTGGACGCCGAGACAACCCGCAGGGAGGGGCGCGAGGAGGTGTGCGGCGCCGAGTACTTCACCAAGGTCTGATGGCTGCTGCCCGCACCCTGCCCATGCGCACCCTGCCCGCCCTCCTTGCCCGCATGCACGCCCCCGCATGCAGCATCTGGCACCTGGCCCGGCATGCCCAGGCGCCAGCTCACGCCCATCCTCGCCTGCCTCTGCAGGTGGAGGACCGCCCCGTGGTAAAGGAGCGCGTGGAGCTGATCCAGGAGCACCGCCCGGTGGAGAAGGAGTTCGTGGTGAGGCAGGGGAGGGGCCCGACTCCTCAGGAGGGGTCCTGGCAGGTGCTGCTGGGCCACTGCGCGCCATGCTTGCAGCCCGAGCCCTGCCCTTCACCACCTGGGCCTGCCTTCCCACTGTAACGTGGTGCTTAATCCCTTCCACGGTCCCCTTGCCCTCCCCGCAGGTCGAGACGCGCGCCACGGGCGTGGAGCGGGAGATTCCCGGCGGCGAGGTGGAGCACCTGGGCACCACCGAGCGCGTGGTGGCGGTCACCCCGCCCAAGGCTCCCTGCGAGTAGACGGGCCCTCCCAAGTGCAACAGCCAGGCAGAGGGGAGCTGCGACAGCCAGGCTGAGGGGAGCTGCAGCTGCAGCAGCTGGCCCGGCTTGCTGAAAGTTGGTGTTTTGCGCAATGAGCAGGTGGCCAAGCAGAAACCACACAGATGCAGGGTGGAGTTGAGTTGGGTTAACCTCGTTTTTGAATGTAATCAACTCACAGACGCCTCTTGTGGTTGAGGACCAGGTTGCACCGGGGATGGGGGCAGGACACATTGCACAAGCTGCAGTTGAGGAGCACGTGCCTTCAAACACCCTTCACAAAAGAATGCTGATTAACACTGAATGCTTCAACAAAAGGCCAGCCCGGGAGAAACTTGTAGCAGGTGGGGAGGAGGCTGACGCGGTCCGCATGCACGGCGCAACGGAAGACCCGAATCGCACGCTTTCTTTAGCTTTGCGCGATGCCCATGATGTTGAGGAACTGCACACGTTGGAGGGGCAGAGAGGCTTCCGTGAGGGTGGCCTGGCAATGCTGCACCAATAGACCGTGCTTCATGTACTGCCCTGTTTGATCCTGCATGCTGTTTTCCCCATGCATGGGCTGCCATTTATTGTTTTCATTCATGGCTTGCCTGCAAAAAGATGATTATGACGTCCATGTAGATCTGCAGCAGACAAACAGGGGCACAGGAGTGGTGGGTGGGTGGGGGGTGGGGGGTGGGCCCACGAGGGGAGGCAGGGCGCGCCCTAGATCCGTCGGACCGCTCGCGCACCTGGACCGAGGCGAACACGTATTCGTCGGGGGAGATGGCGTAGGCCTTGCCGCCCATGACCATCTGGATGTCGTACACCTGGCAGCAGTTGCATGGGCGGCAAGCAGCGGGCACAGGGGTGGGTGGGTGGCATGTGCCGGCAGAACACCGCCAACCCGCTGGCCCATGTTCCACGTCCCCCTTGCTGCGTACCAAATAGGCGGAGAATAGCAGCGCCACGATGACAGACACGGCCAAATACCACCATTTGCTGTTGTTGTTGTTTCAAGAGGGGGTAATGCAGCAGAGGCAGGGGTTAATGGCGGCATGGGCGGGGAGGGCGCGGCTCTCTGCTGGCTGCAGGCACAGAGCCTCAGCCAGGGTTGTTTGGGCAGCCGTCACACCTGACATAGAAGAAGCCCACTAGCATGGTGACGAGCAGGACCATGAAGGTGACGCCGCCCGCCATGGCCAAGATGTGGCCCTGCGCAGCGGGCGCAGCACAGGCGTCAGGAGGGCTCGCAGCCCCCTCAACACACCCCGCCGGCCCCGCTGCCTCACCTTCTTGGTGATGTCAAACTTGCCAAACACGGCGACCAGGGTCAGGCCCGCCACCGCCGCGCCAGTCACAGCGAAAGCCTCCAACACCACTGAAGTTTGCCAGTACGCACAGATGGTGCCCACCAGCACCGACATCACCAGTGTGAACACCACCAGGGCCAGCAGGTTCCACGGGTGCTTTCGGCGCAGGGTTTTGGAGCACATGATGGCAATCATCATGACCTGCAGTTGAAGGGAAGCTGGGTCAGTGCAAGTGGGCAGGCAACAGTCGCAGGAATAACAAAATGACAACAGTTGCAGGACAAGAACATATTCTGCATTAAACAGAAAAACAAGCAACAGTCGTGCACTCCCGCGGCGACGCTGCTCCCCCGCCTTCTCTCCTCACCAGCGAGGTGATCCAGCTGACAATGAACACCCACTGGCCATCCCCTCCAGGGCGCACATACTCCTGCGGCGGGGCAAGGGCGCGCAGATGTGGCAAGGTCAACCCCAGATCTGCGCAATGCGCTACTCTTTCTTTGGCAACGCTATGCACCCACCCTGACGGCATCCACGAAAATGAAGCAGGAAGCAACACCAATCGTGACGCAGAGCTGCAGGAAGACGAGGAGGAAGACCTGCAGCGGCGGCATGGGGCAAGGGAGGGCTAGGGACGCTTGGCCGCATGTTCCTCGACTTGCTGACGCTATGCTCCCAGATGGGGTGCATGCCTGCCATGATAGAAGACAGGCTCACCTTGCGCACAAAGCCCTTCCGGACTTGGCCCTCCGCAAAGGCTGCATGGCGGGCGGGAGAGGAGTGCGCAACAAAAGGGGAATGCTTGGCACGAGCCACCATGCTCACAAGCTGGCCGATGCAGCGCCTATGGGCCCTTTGAAAGCCCTCGCCAGGGCGCTCACCTGCTGCATAGGCAGCCGCCTGCGCGGCCTCCTGATCGTACCCATCAAAGTTGCCCTGCGGGGGTGGCTTGGGTGCCTGCGGGCGCACCGGCTGCGGCTGGCCAGGTGGCGGCGGGTACGCTGCGTAGCCGGGCGGCGGTTGGCCATAGCCGGGCTGCTGACCGTAGCCTGCTGCAGGGTAGCCTGGCGGCGGTGGCGCAAACTGCGGCCCTCCAGGGGGTGCTCCGTATGGGGGCGGGCCATAGGCGGAGGGTGGGTAAGGGGGCGGACCTCCAGCAGCCTGAGGCGGAGGAGTGCCTGCAATCCATGTCAGGCATTGCTCTCAGGTGGTGGTCAGCAAGCACGGCAAGTTCTCCCCTTAACCACCAGCAAGTGACGGCGTGGCGGCGGTTGCGGCTCGCCAGCCAGCCAGTCACCTGAAGGCCCCGCCCCGCGATTGGTGGGGATGCCAGCAGGGTTCTGGCCCATAGCGGTGTCAAGAGCCGGGCGCGCTAGCCTTGCTGCCAAGCTTTCAAAAGCTGAGGATGTGGCTCTGAGTCTGGCTCTATCAATCAAGCAACCGCACAGGTCGGGAGAACGTGCGAGGCAGCAGGCTGGGCTGCAACGCGGAGACAGGGCAGCAGATGGGGCAAGCCGCCCGCCACCGCCGTCAATGCTACCACCTTCAATGATCTGGTGGAATTTTGTCTGCCTCTTTGCCAGAAGGTGCGCGCGGCCAAGGAGGTACGTGTACTGCCCCAGCCGGCAATGGATTGCTCTCAGAGAGGAGCAATCCATTGCCCACTGCATTGCCGGCAAGCTGTGGCGAATGCGTCCAGCGGCTTTTGGCATGTGAGGTCACAGCTGTGAATTGCATGCAAACGCACTGAGAGCTGCCAATCCACTCCTGACGAGCAGCGGCGCATCAGGCGCACCAGAACACGATGGCCGCGGAGCGCCAGCTCCTGCTGACCTCCTTTGCTGTGCCGCCAGCGGCGACAGGCGAGGCGGGGGCAGCTACAAAGCCTGGCACCGGCCTGCTGCTACTCCAGCGGGGCGACTATGCGGGGGCTCTGCTAGCAGCCCTGCGCGCATGTTGGGAGGCGGCTGGCAATGGCAGCAGCAGCGCCGCCCCCGAGAGCACCCCCGACTGGTTTGAGGCAGCGGCGGCAGCATTCAAGCGGTTGCTCACTAGCGGCCCGACAGGGGCACAGGTGGCTGCGGCGGAGCAGCTGCTGGTGGCGGCAGTGGCAGCGCTTTACCTCTTCACTCAGGCCAACCTGTCGGGCCCTGCCACCTCCCTGCCAGAGTGCCCCTTTGACTGGATTGACGAGCAGGCGGCGGCAGTCTGGCTACAACAGCTGCAGGACGGCAGCAGCCCGCGCGCCGGCGCCAGTGGGGCGGGCTTTGGGCGCGACAGCACCGGCCCGGGGGACAGGTGGGCACGGAGCTGCGGGCGGGGATCTGCCTGGGACCTGCCCACCAGCTCCCCCCCGGCGTGGCTCGCTGAAGCTGCCCGCAGGCTGAGTTGCCACATGCGCTTTCTTTCCACCCTGCCCTACCGCAGGTGGGCCGCGGCGCAGCTCTCTGAGAGCGGCGAGGACCTGATTGGGCGCATGCAGTACCCGCAGTACCTCCTCCTGGCCCGCATGGTACTGCTGGCACCGCTCCAGGTGGTACCGCCAGGCAGCAGCAGCGGCGACGGCGCCAGCAGCGGCGGCGCCGCGGCGCCAGCCGCAGGGTCGCCTGCCACAGTGCAGCCAGCGGCGGGTGCGGCGTGGCTGGATGCGGCGCGGCTGCCCTGCTGGTGCTGGTGGGCGCTGCGCGCGGTGCTGCTGCAGCAGCGCCTGCTGTCGGGCCGGTCGGCGGCGCTGCGCAGCCTGCTGCTGGGGCTAGAGGAACCGGTGTTGGCGGGGCTGGCGGAGCCAGTAGAGCGCAGGCTTGCACTGCTGGCGGGCGGCGGCGGCGGCGGCGGCAGGGCGCCACCCAGCCTGGAGGATCAGCTGCTGGCGGCGGGGGCGCTGCTGGAGGCTGCGCTGCTGGAGGCGGCGTACGGGCACATGGAGGCGGCTGCACGCTACCTGCACCGCAGCGGCGCGGTGCTGGGCTTCCGCTCTGGTGCGTGGGCGACGGCGGCGGGGGCTTGCCTTGGGGTGGAAGCGCTGTAGGGAGGGGCAAGCGCTGCGCGGTGCCCCCCGCGAGGCTGCCAGCCATGCAGCGCGCGGTGCTGGCCGACCCCTCGCCCCTAGCGGCCCCCTCCCCGCCTGCAGAGCTGACGGGCGCGATGGGCGTGCGCACGGTGCACCAGCAGGAGGCGCGCGCGCAGCTGCTGGTGGCCGTGCGGCGCGACGCCGGCAACCCCTGGACCGCCGCGCACGCCGCCGGCGCGCTGCCTGGCGAGGCTGAGGCGCGGTGCGCGATAGAGGCGGCGGCTGCGGCGGGGGTGCAGCTGCCAGCCGACCTGGCCGGCTTTGCCGCAGACTCAGATGTGCTGCGCCACCCTCGGCTGGTGGGGGAGCAGGAGGCAGGCGCAGGGCAGGGGCAGGGGCAGGGCCCGGCGCTGCCGGCAGACCTGCACTCCCTAGAGCAGGCGCTGCTGCTGGGCTGGGGCCTGCACGTGCGCAAGGGCAGCGCGGCAGACGGGATGCAGCCGTGGGAGGTAGCGGCGTATGTGGATGCAGGTGGGGCGCTTGGGGGCCAGGCAGGCTTGTGCGTGCCCTGGCCTGCGCCAACCGCATGCCTGCCAGCACTGCCGCGCTCCTGTGCACTGCTGGCAGCCGCCGCCGGGCCCAGCACGCTGCCGTGGCCGACGTGTGGCTGCTGCCCTCCCCCATCCCTGCGCGCAGTGGCGCGCCAGAAGCGCACGCAGTTCCTTCTGCATGCGGCGGCCGCGCTGCAGGCTTCGCGGCTTGAGAAGTCGAGGTCGCGCACCCGGGACCGCGCTCTGCTGCAGATGGAGCAGCTGGCAGAGAGCCTGGACAGGCGCTGCGCCGAGCTGCCGCCCGCGATGCGGCTGCGGTGAGCGTGCGCAAA